AAAAATGTTGTATCTTTGGCTTGCTTGCATCCAAGCGTGCCTGAGCACGTAAAATAGGAACAAATTTTAAGTTCCAACCATCTACAATCTTAAATCTACATATCATCTTCATTTCAGCAAATCGATATTCTAAACTTGATGACATAGTTTATTTTTAAATGTGTTTTGGGAGTTGTACTCCTCTTTTATTTATTTTATGCTATAGATTACAGATTACAGGTACGTGGACAATTTTTTTTTTGAATATATTAGACTATTGTAGTGGTGTGGATGGAAATCAAGTAGTTGACATTGCAGATGGGGTTTATCACATTTATCAGCTTAGCAAATGTTTGCTTCAGGAGCTGATGGAGCATTCTACTTGGGCTCAAGTTAGGGACCTCGCACATAATGATTTACATAGGAATTGGAGACAAGAAATTTCTTGGCATTGGTAACAAAATTTCTTCGGGTAGGGTTATGAGAAATTTCTCAGAATTATTTACAAGAAATTTCTCGGAATGGGTTACAAGAAATTCCTGGGAATGGGTTATGATAAATAACCTAGAATTGGGTTGCAAGAAATTCCTCATAATGGTTTAAACAAAATTCCTCAGAATTAGTTCAAATGGTGAATCTTGATCCCCGGATGATCTCAAGAAAATCTCCAATTTCTGTTGACATTTTCACAGGATTTTCCCGTGGAAGATTCCTGTGAATTTCAGCGGAATTATGGTAGAAATTCTCGGGAATTTCCGTGGATTTTCCACAAAATTGTTTCCTGGGTTGGTTCTGCTTCAATCATATTTGATAAATCAAGCAAAACCATCGTTTAAAAAGCTTTCCATTAAGGAAGCAGATTACCTTCTGGGTCACAGGTAAATGTTCCAATGTTGAAAATTTGATCTTTTTAAACCCACTACTTTTATACAAAATTGTATATATATTAATTTTCGTATAAATTTGACAAAGTTGTAAATCAGTTTCTCGAGATAGGAACATCAGATAAAACTTTCATGGGTCACGATCGAGAGCTAAAGTGATTAGCTTTCAGCCTATACCCCCTTTCATTTTTCGCGAACACTCCCTTTAAGAGGATACTTTACCAGTACCAATACTGCTGTCTTCAATGAAATCAACTATTATTACCTGCAAGCTAGATAACAAAGCCCCTGAGTGTTCATCCCAGGCGGAGATTGTATGCTGACTCCAGTTCCAGCAGTCACGGTTCTTCCTTTTACGGGACAATCCACTAAACAAAGAATTCATTAACAAACAGCACTAAAGTAGACTGTGGTTGGTTCAGGAAAAGTTAGGGGAGTCAGTAGAGAGAGTTGTCACCTTTTACCTTTAATTTTGCATTTCGCGCGCAATAACTCGATTATTCCCCCCCCCCCCTCTAGAAAAATCGTAGATGTAGATACTCAGTTGCATGCGAATTTTGTATTCTAAGCTTGCAAACCCGTTTTTTGCAGAATTCAATAGGTTTTCATTCACTTCAGACCAGGGTTGATAGAGGTGCATGGGTTTTTTTTTCTGGAGAAATAAATTCATATATCACTGATGAATATTGGAGAAGTAAGAAAATCTGTGATAAACTTCATTCTTTATTTGTATTTAATATTTTAAAAATGTTATCCTTATTTTTGAGAAAAGTACAATGTTTTATTGAATTTAAAGATAATGACCAAAGAATTCAATTATTTTGTGAACACATCCATTTTATGGACCATCTATTAGAAATTTCTTTTGTCCGTCAATGCTTTAGAAGTTGGCGGTAAATTAGGAGTCCATAGTCACCATTCAGTGATCAAGCCCTAACTTTGAAACCCATTTTAAAACCCATTAATAATGATTTTTTGTATTTACTCTCATGCTATTTTCAGCGAATTTGGAATGAGAAATCAAAATAAGACTGATAAATGTTGATACACACAGGATATACATTGTTGGAGCTAATTTTACATAAAGTTAAGTTCTTACAAACAAAAATTTTTATCAATTACAATTATCAACTTTTTTTATGTTTAGACAACCTATTCACTCAAAATAAGTTATAAATTTTTTTCTTCTTAAATATCACATTAAGTCTACTGAGAGTTACTTACTATCAATGTTTGAAAAATCTCCAAAAGATGTAACATCACTTGATATATCCACAACAGTTTTCCAGTTTTTAAATGTTTTACAGGTTTTATCTGTCATGAGCAAATATCCTCTGCAATCTTCCTAAAAGAGTTAGATTTTATCTTTTGTTAAAAAATTGTATTTCATAAAAGCTTTAAGCTCGTTTATGGAATCATTCTTTGCATTTTGTATGTTAAAAATCAATAAATAATGAAAATTAAAGGTTTACCAATTATATTGTGAAATTGGTTTTGAGCACGCAATAAGAATGCTGTGTCTTTTAATCTATAGGGCTATTTTAAAACAGTCGTCTTTATATCCTAAAGTTTTATGGATTTCCCTTTGATAATTTTCTATGAATAACAGACGAGTAAAAGGATCAGTTTACGCCACAAACTTTATTAGATTTGATTAAAAAGAAGTTAAAATGTTAATCACAAATTGAAAACGCTACAATGTAACAAGGGACAAAGTGACAACGCTACACTGTAACAAGGGATAAAGTGACAACTCTACACTGTAACAAGGGATAAAGTGACAACGCTACACTGTAACAAGGGATAAAGTGACAACTCTACACTGTAACAAGGGATAAAGTGACAACGCTACATTGTAACAAGGGATAAAGTGACAACGCTACACTGTAACAAGGGATAAAGTGACAACGCTACACTGTAACAAGGGATATTTCTTCGAGAAATTTTCTCAGTAATAGAAAGTTATTCTAACGTATAAATGGTTTTAGCTAGTTCAAAAACTTTAAAGATTGTTCCAACACTTTTTTTAGATTGTTCTAAAAACTTTTTAGATTGTTTTAAAAACTTTTTAGTTTGAACTAAAAATATGGATTTAATGTTTGAATCTGAGAAAATTATTTTATAATCGGCTCAACAATAAAAAAGTTTATAGACTTATTTACAAAGTTTTAGAACAATCTAAAATATTTTTACCTTAGCCCGTCTTTCTATTTATGAGAAAAAAATTAATAGAAATATCGAAAAAGATGTTCTATTAAAGGAAAACTTTATCAATTGACACACTTTGTCAAATGCTTTTCTTACAAAAATGGAACACTGAAGTGACTTCGCCAAAAACTACTAATTTTTAAAGATAATTTTAAATTTTAGTGAAGAGTACTTTGTAAATGCATGACATAGGGCAAGAAATGGTGGTATGGCCTGAATCTGATTCTTCCCCTTCGATGTCGCTCGGCATCTTGGATAAGGACGTTCTAATAGAACCTTAAACACAAAACATGATTATTATTTTTTCATTCAATAAATCATTGTCTCCTTGAAAAAGTTTTTAAACTTGAAATTCTTTTGTTTTGTAATTCTTAACAAACTTGTTTTTTGATTTTCTTGTTAAAAAGTATAATTGATTTTTAAAACTTTCGAGCGTTTAATCTTTATATAAATAGTTATTAAAACACTATTATTTTGGTTCGTAATGTTATAAAGCTTTTGGACAGAAATTTTCTCTTTATCGAGAAAGTTCAATCCTTTCTAGATTTTTTTTGGCCTGATCTTTAGCAAGATACAAAAAAACTCAAAACTTTATAGCACGTTATGCCAAAATAAATAGTGATACAGGTAATTTTATGAAACGTTTGTTTACTTGTCTGAATGCGTTGGCTTCTTCTAGATAAAGTAAGCTTTTTAACAAAGCAGAAAATAAATTTTAAAGTTAATCCAATTTTATTTTCATCTAAACTGAAAAAATATCTTTGAAATATCCTTAATTTGTTGGAGAAAATCCAAATCCAAATTTACTGCACACGTGCTATAATGTACATACAGCTAATTCAAAATTATAGCACAATGATTACTTTATAGCACAGTGCTACAGTATACAGCTAATTTAACAATATTGTACAATGATTACTTTATTAGCATATTCATAATAAGTTCATCATGAAGTGGGTAAGAATGAACAAGAACACAATAGTTTCATAAACATATTAAAAATTATATTACCAACAATGGTTTCGGCTTCAATAAGCTGTAGCGCAGGCCCACTACCAGATACAGAGCGTAACACTTTAACCACAGGGTTCAAGGTTTGTAAAATTAAGGTTAGTAAAATCAAGGTTTGTAAAATCAAGGTTTGTAAAATCAAGGTTAGTAAAATCAAAAAAACAAAAATCATAAAAACAAAGTTAGTAAAAACAAAATTAGTAAAATCAAGGTTTGTAAAATCAAGGTTTGTAAAATCTAGGTTTATAAAACCAAGATTTGTAAAAGCAAAGTAAGTAACATCAAGTTTAGTAAAATCGAGGTTAGTAAAATCAAGCTGTTAGTAAAATCTAGGTTCATAAAATCAAGGTTTGTAAAAACAAAGTTAGTAAAATCAAGGTTTGAAAAATTTAGGCATTAAATAGTTTCATAAAAATGTTATTAAAATAGTTTTTCTAAATATTTGCTTTTCTTACACTTTACCAAATGTTGACCCGATCTTAAGGCAAACTTATTGCAAATATCATTTTTTAATAGTTTTCCATTTATTTAAGATAAAAATAATTCAAAGTTCAACAAAAGAAAACTTTCATAATAACACAGTTTTGAAGTTTTTGTTAGTAGTTTTTAAAAAACGAACCAAACCGATTAACAAGTGAACCCTGCCTGTTATCTTGAGGTATCGGGCCCTTGTCAAAGGGTCTAAAGGTATTCGATCAGCAGCCACATTACACCCCTGCAACAATATTTTATGCAAATTAAACATGCAGAGGTCTATGAGAGCTTTAGTGACAAATTTACTAATTAGTTTTATCTATATATATTCATCATTTATTTTTGTCTAAAGCAAAATTACTTTAAACAATATAAAAGTTTACAAACTAATACTCTTTTCTCTGGATATCGCATTTTATAATTGACAGGGTTTGCCAAAAAACAGGTGCAATACAAGACTTTTAGCATGAGTATAGTTTAGCTATTCAGAGGTGGTTTTCAGAAATGGGGTTTCTTGGTCCCAGTCTAGTGTTTTTCGTTTCCTAAAAATGTGGTATGATGACAGTACTGCAAGGCTTGATAGATTTTCGCACATTGCTTTAAAACTAACACTGGGTTTGCAGAACTTATGCAGTTTCTTTATTAGAATTGCCTTATTTGATGGTGTATTAAAGAACCTTAGATCTTTCCTTGGTTTAAAACATATATTTGTTAATTAAATATCAGAGTTGTAAAGGAAATGAGATTTTGCCAAATACTCTAAAATTATAAGCCCCATATCTGTGCAACCATTTTTGATCTTTGATATTTCAAACTATGAATTCTAAGAACAATGAAAAAGCCTAGGTTTCAAATAAGGCTTACACCATAAGGTTTCAAAGAAATAGGGATTAGAAAGTTTGAGTTTCTGACAAAAACTTAGTTCCTTTCTTAAAAGTCTTTCCCTCTTTCAAAAATAATGTTTTCACCCAGAAATTAGATATGTTTGCGTGGAGCAGCAAAAAAATTGTGTAAGGTTTCATTTGCTAAATATTTGGGTATGAATTGTAATAAAAAGGATAAAAACATCAACTTTTTTTTCTCACCAGTTCATTAAAATCAGATTTTTCTACAGAAGTATAGGTTTGTTTACGCGGAATGACAAAAAAATTCATGATGTCTAATTTTTCCTTTCTTTTTTGTTTAACAACAATGTTTTTTCACAGAAGTTATTTTTGTTTGCGCGGAACACTGTACAAATTTTCAAGGTTTTACTTGCTGAATTAAAAAAAAAAATATTTAAATAAAAAATCAATTCATATATAACCTCCAAAGGCGTGCCCCCCCCCCCACAGGGTGGCACTTGCACCAAGTTCCCTCCCCACCCCTCGTACGTCCATGATTACATGGTCTATTAAAGGGACTACCTTTAACATTTAAAAGGACCATGCCCGATTCACAAAAGTTCCCTTTGAACATACATTACACTGATAAAAAATGTGGAAAATAATGTTCCTTTTGGATGAAAAATTCTAAGATCTGAAAATTTCCTCCATTGTTTCTGCAGAATAAATCTGAAAGTCCCTACAACCGGGAAACCATAATTGAAAATAATCAAGTTGCAAAATAAAATAATAAAAATTTCTTTTTTTTTCAAACAAAGCTTTTCAGGGTGAAGTTTTGAATCCCACATGTCACTCTAACAACAAGAGGTTGCTAAAATAAGTCACGAAAATTTGTTCTCGTAGTAAGAATTTGACTCCACTGGAGAACACCGCAGGGATTTCATTTTTACTGCAGGGGTCAAGAAATCGCAGTTTACGATTTGGAACTTTACTCAGGGTTGTTTACATTCCACTGGATGGATTCTGATATCCTTCCTGGAGGTTAAAAATTCCACTTGAGGGATTCAGATATCCATCTTGAAGCATATCTGAATCCCTCCAGTGGAATTATAAACCCACAGGAAGTATATCTGAATCCCTCCAGTGGAATTATAAACCCTAGATGCATAACTGAATCCTTTGCAACTCCTTGATGAATAACGGAATCCCTCCCATGGAATAATAAACCGCTGTGATGGATATCTGAATTCCTCCAGTAGAATTATAATCCCCCTGGATGGATATCTAAATCCCTCCAGTAGAATTATAATCCCCCTGGATGGATATCTGAATCCCTCCAGTAGAATTATAATCCGCCTGGATGCATATCTGAATCCCTCCAGTAGAATTATAATCCCCCTTGATGGATATCTGAATCCCTCTAGTGGAATTATAATCCCCTGAATCCCTGAAAATTATGCAATTTGCTGGGTCCAATAATCTAATTTTGAAATATCAGGTTTCAAAGATGTAGTGATTAGAAAATTTGAGTTTGTGGTTTAGACTCAATTCCTTTGACTTTTCCTCTTTGTCGTTTGAAGCTTGCCCAATATTTCTATTTCTGTCAAATAGTAATTTTTCGTCGAAAATTAGATATTTTGAAATAATGATTTATTGGTGTGCTAATTATATCTATTTATAAATATACAGTGTAATTAAAGAGTTCTTTTTCCTAAAATATAAATAAATGTTAAATTGAGGATTTCACAATATTTTAAGAAATTTCTTTTCTATTTCAAAACACTCCAAAGGAATTTAGGAGTCTCACACTCTGATTCTCTAATCCATATATCTTTGAAACCCAATGTCCTTGGATATTAGATCAAATAATTTTAAATTTCAAATTTACACCATCGGGTAATTCGGGTTGCAATGATATAGAGATTAGAAACTTAGTTTTTTTGAGAAAGACTTAATTTCTTTGCCTCATTTTTGGAAAAATGAAGATACCTATAATATTTATTTTACTGCCTAAAGATATTTAAAAGCCTCAGAATGAATTTTATGTGAAAAAGTACACTGTCAGTTAACAGTTCATTATGATCTATCATTTCATATTTTATGTCACGTCTCTTATTTTCTAACCCCTTTATCTTCACAATCCCATTTCGTAGATTTTTAATATTTCACCTTTATTTTTTGGCAGATCAAGTAAACTGTACATTTGAAATTTTACATTTACACGATCGGGTTATAAAGATTTAGGGAAAATTTATGTTTGCAGAAAGTACTCAAATAATTCCTTTACTACAGTGCAGGGGTAAATATAATTCCTTTTTCAATCCCATTTGGGATTGACAAATTTGAAAGAAATGGGGGCAAATTTTTTTAAATGATACACATAACCATAGTAGTCAAAACTCAGAAGAAGCTGCAATTAAGAAAGCTTCTCTTTAATTACTTGCAATCTTGCAATTCGAAAAAATATTAAAATCAATAAAAACTTAAATAAGAAAGTCGTCTTCATTGTTTTTATATAATCACCGACAACTGCATAACACTGATTAGAGAATAAATATTGAGTATTCTGGTTCTCAGAAATATTTTGAGCAGTAAGACACGGTTTTCCTAAAGTCGAAAATAAGGTAGTACATATATGTATCTTTAAAGAAGTAAGCAATCCATTTTATTTTTCATTTATCCATTTTCACCTTATCTGCAGCAGATTTAAGGGTGTAAGAGCCTACTACGTCAGTGTAAGTAGAATCGTCTTCGGAGACAGATATCTTAATCTCCTAGATAAAAAATCTTAATCTACAAGATACAAAATCTTAATTTTCTAGATACAAAATCTTAATCTACTTTCTAGATACAAAATCTTAATCTCCTAGGTACAAAATCTTAATCTCCTTCCTAGATACAAAATCTTAATCTCCTAGGTACAAAATCTTAATCTCCTAGATACAAAATCTTAAACTCCTAAATACAAAATCTTAAACTCCTAGGTACGTTCCACGGGACAATCAAGTAAATTAACGTTCCTCGGGACAATCAAGTATATTAACGTTCCTCTGGACAATCAAGTACATTAACGTTCCTCGGAACAATTAAGTAAATTAACGTTCCTCGGGACAATCAAGTAAATTAACGTTCCTCGGGACAACCAAGTGAATTAACGTTCCTGTGGACAATCAAGTAAATTAACGTTCCTCGGGACAATCAAGTATATTAACGTTCCTCAGGACAATCAAGTAAATTAATGTTCCTCGGGACAATCAAGTAAATTAACGTTCCTCGGGACAATTAAGTAAATTAACGTTCCTTGGCACAAACAAGTAAATTAACGTTCCTCGGACAATCAAGTAAATTAACGTTCCTGTGGACAATCAAGTAAATTAACGTTCCTCGGGACAATCAAGTATATTAAAGTTCCTTGGCACAATCAGGTAAATTTACGTTCCGCGGGACAATCAAGTAATTTTACGTTCCTGGGGACAATCAAGTAAATTAACGTTCCTCGGACAATCAAGTAAATTAACGTTCCTTGGGACAATCAAGTAAATTAACATTCCTCAGGACAATCAAGTAAATTAACATTCCTCAGGACAATCAAGTAAATTAGTGTTTCTCGGGACAATCAAGTACATTAACGTTCCTCGGGACAATCAAGTAAATTAACGTTCCTTGGGACAATCAAGTAAAATAACGTTTCTTGGGACAATTAAGTAAATTAATGTTCCTTGGTACAATCAAGTAAATTAACGTTCCTAAGGACAATCAAGAAAATTAGCGTTCCTCGGGACAATCAAGTAAATTAACGTTCCTTGGGACAATCAAGTAAATTATCTTTCCACGGGACAATCAAGTAAATTAACGTTCCTCAGGACAATCAAGTAAATTATCTTTCCACGGGACAATCAAGTAAATTAACGTTCCTCGGGACAATCAAGTAAATTAACGTTCCTCGGGACAATTAAGTAAATTAACGTTCCTTCGCACAATCAAGTAAATTAACGTTCCTCGGACAATCAAGTAAATTAACGTTCCTCGGGAAAATCAAGAAAATTAACGTTACTCGGGGCAATCAAGTAAATTAACATTCCTGTGGACAATCAAGTAAATTAACATTCCTCAGGACAATCAAGTACATTAACGTTCCTCGGGACAATCAAGTAAATTAACGTTCCTCGGATAAATTAAATTTCCTCGAGACAATTAAGTAAATTAACGTTCCTTGGCACAATCAAGTAAATTAACGTTTCCCGGGACAATCAAGTAAATTAACGTTCCTTGGCACAATCAAGTAAATTAACGTTCCTCGGGACAATCAAGTAAATTAACGACCCCTTCTGTGATAAAACTACTTTAAAGGGAAGTTAAGGGAATTTTACTTAACCACGGGTTCTCTCAACCTATTTTCCTTGTTCTCAATGTTTTGTTGGCAAAATTGGGTTTGCTAACCCTTGGTAAAGTAAAATTTCCTTAATTTTGATATTATTGAAATACAATTTGAAAGTTTTGACCTATCCCTAATCTTTTTTTTCTAAACTGACCTGCGTACTACATTTTTTATCAGAGTTTGGGTCACCACAGTATGCTTGTCTGTTCTTGATGATAACTCTAAATATGATAATGAAAAATATAATAAGAATAATTATCTTGAATTATAATCAAATATTACTATTAAAATATTTTCAAATATTAATCTTAAAGCAATAGTAAGTGTATTTGATAAAGAAAATAGTATTACTAATAAATAGCTTATTTAATTGCTAATCGAGTGAAAATTTTCTGTTTAGACTGCACAATTACTGTTTAGACTGCACAATTACTGTTTAGACTGCACAATTACTGTTTCTCATATTCATCTAAAGTGATGATTTGAGTCTAAAAGTCATCTTCCTATTCAACAGTTTTCTGGTTCTCATTGTACCTGTCAATCACAGTGATGCAACCAAAATCCAAAACAATTTCGTGACCTTCACCATCCTTCCCAACCCAGTAGTTACAGTCGTCCTCCACCATATACCTCGACAGGAATTCATCCGATCTTTTGGTCTTGGCGGACTTAACCTCAGTCGGAGTCTTGCAAACTGAAAATTGTAATAATCTATTCATTTATCCTTTCTTGCCTTTCTTTTATGCATTTATCCACCCTACTAGCTATCCCTCTGAGACAGAAACCCACCTTGTCCATGGTACTTGATAGGGTGGTGGACTTTGGTTCCATACCCAAATTGATCCATCCTTTAATTCATTCATTTCATTCATTTAATTGAAAACCATATGAATTCAAGTGACCCCTGATTGACAGTGGCATATACAACTAACATCGGTAACCTTAAAAGCTTTGTCTGATCAAGTATTAAGTATTAATAAAAGATACGTTTTTTTTTAAAAACTGATTATTTCCATTAGTGGTTTCATTAAAAAAAGTGATTTGGTATTTCTTGCTTCCGAAAAAAACCAAAAAAATTATCAGAATTAAACACTTTTAGATCTAAAGAATCATGTTATTTCCACATTATTAAAGGTTTGAAAGGTACTGCTGTGAATCAGACAGTACCATGGATGACCCTATTTTAAATAGATTTTTTTAATAGGTTTATGGAGTTTACAGCGTTTGCGAACGTCACCATTTTTTGCTTTCTCTTTTTTATTAAATATTCTTTAGAAATATGGTTTCTGAGAAATGAAAAGCATGATATTAAAAGTACGATTAATGTGAACAAACATGAAATTATTGCAAAAAGAAGCCCACAATTGATTGCATTAATAAATCGCTGTCATTTATTTTGCAAAATTATAACCTAATTATAGCTGACCAGTGATTAATACAGTGCAATTTATAATGGCTATAAATCAGCAACCAGGATATATATCTAATGAGACAAAAACTTTAATTTAATAAAACATTAGTAGATGTCCTGACAGTAATTATATTTTTAAAAATATAGGAATTGGGGAATTTTCCATAATATCCAGTATTTTGTAACATTAAATTTCCAAAATAAAAAACTAAGATTTTTTTTACCTTCGGCCGGAGATAGGAAGGAGTGTACCTCAGTCCAGTTTTTAAACAGTAGGATCCAAAGAATCCAATTTTTCATAATCTTTTTCATTGTCTTCCTGAAACGTACGTAAATACTTTTACCTTTCAAGCGCCTCTGGCCCCCCCCCTCCCTTGGCTATACCTATCATTACAAATCAAACATACAGAGAGAACCAAAACACTGTGGTGTTGCGGAAATGTTCTTCCCTTTCTCAAGAAACGTCACAAAGGATAGACGCAGATATATATCTATCCAAATTTTTATTCATAATTTAATACATTACTTATTGTTTATTCTTCCGTTATGTATAGTTCTACATTGTCAAATGTATCATGTCATGATAATAATTAATCAGAAAGCTAAAATAAAAATGATTTTGGTTTCCTGGTAATCCTATAAAAACTCTTTGGTCAAATGCTTTTTTCAAGTCTAAACTAACCTGTTTAAATTGAACTTTTTCATAAAGGAAGAAAGGAATAGGAAGACGATATGTATGCAAGAATGGTGGACACTACACAATTACTTTTTTGTTTAATGCACAGTCTAATGTAATAACTTCAGTCTGATGGTTTTCCTCTTATTCGTTTTACAGGTCCTACAATACCTGATTTCTTTTCTGACATGGCTTTGACATTAAAATTAGTAAATTCCATGCACTGAAAAATTCTAGTTAATTTCACCATCGAAAATATTGTAAACCGCCTATGTCTGTATCAAAGGATAATGCTTCAATGAGACGAATGTACGGATTTTAATTATTTTGCGTTAAAAGAATTTACAAAGGCAGAACATCAAATTCAACCAGTATTTTAAAATATATGCATTAAACATGAACAATTTGAGGTCGTCATTGAATTGTTTATTGATGTGAATTCCATTGCTACAGCCTGCTTATATTTTGATTTAGTCGTTGCAATATTCCAGATTCCTTAATTCCCTTAATCGTTTCCCCGCAAAACGTTTCCTCAATAATATATTTCCTGCCACAAAACGTTTCCTTACATAACATTGCCATCACAAAACGTTTCCTGCTACAAAACCAGATGCAACCTTTTTTTAAAAATGTTATCTTTGATAAAATGCAAAATGCAAGTATGAACTACTCAAAATGTTTCTTTTCATTTTGTTCGTTCATAGTTCGTGAATGACCCATTTCGTTCGTTTTTATCAATCGTTCAGAGGAAAATTTATTTATTTCGCTCTCAAAAACTATCGTTCATTATTCATTTTTTTTTATTGTTCGTTTTCTCACTGTTTATTCGTTTTAATCATTACAGGGTGCATAACTTTAATGTATAGCAGGGGCACGACCCTTGGGGGGGGGGGTAATCTGGGACTAGCCCCCTAAAAAGTGAAAACTATGGTTTTAACAGAGGTATGATAGAATCAGGGGCGTATTCAGGAATTTGTCCAGGGGGGCCTAAATTTTTTCTCTTACGGGGGGGGGGGCTTAGCTCCCGTTGAGGGCCAGAAAACCCCCAAAAATCAATAGATTAAGGTTCAGGAGAGAGGCTTAGCCCCCGTAGCCCCCCCCCCCCAATACATCTCTGGATAGAATAACATTAAGCCCTCCTTGATTGAAATTTGGTTTAAGAGATTTAAGTTAATTTCTTCTATTAACTTATTTTTCTTATGTTATTTCATTCATTTTTTAATTTTTCATTGAACGAAACAATTAGAATTCCTTTATTAAAAGCGGGTTTTTTGGTATGCAACAATTTTCATTTAATCCCGCCGGGATATTTTCATTGAAAGATACTTTAAAATTCTACAAAGGCAAAAAAAAATCCGCAAAATCCGCAAGCCCTCGGGTTTATCATTGAATCCCCTCTTTAAAAGGAATGTCATTTACTCTCAGACAAGTTAGAATCAAAGGAAATTTAAACCTCCGAGGGATTCAATGATAAACCCGAGGGCATAGCCAAGGGTTTATCATTGATTCAATGATAAACCCGATTCTAATTCTAATTTGTCTGAGAGTAAATGATACATTAAATTGCTTAATTTGTAAATGATAAATTAAATTGCTTAATTTTGATAATATACAAAAGTTTTAAAAATTAAAAGTGTGGCATTTATAAGAGTATTTTTCTTTTTATATGAAAAGAAAGACGACCATTGAAAAGTACGAAATATATTTATCACATTATAACACCTAAATATTTTACCCTATACCATAAACGTTTTGCCCTAAGAATACAGGGGTTTCTCTTAAAAAATGACTTATAAGCTTTTATAATCAAAAAAATATTATTATCAAAAAATTGGAATACATTATAATAACGATTTCTTAATTGTTGATCAAATTTGAGATTACAAACAGTAACTTCAAGAAAGAACAAAATATACCATCTACGTCCGGATGGTTCAGTAGAGCCAAGAACTGAAGAAATATTAACGGTTGGCTATTTTAACAAAACGGCTTTAAAATAGCCTAAACATCCCCAGCCCTACCCAAGATGGATATTTAGAGACTAAAATAAAATTGTCTTTTATTTTGAATTCTTGTTCAGTGTCTTTAAGTGTGTTAACTAGGGATGGGCAATAGCTAGATTCGTTTTATAGAAGATTTAATGTTTTTAGACTTTAACAAGGTTTTACAACAATATGACAAATTGGAAGGTTTCAACATTTTAAAACTTTATTCTTTAGAAGTTTGCTTTTATCAAACATGCAGATTTGTTTACTAAAGCAGACTTCTACAGAATACAATTATAACTGTTGAATCCTTCGAAGATTTTCTTAAACCTTTTAAAAGTCCAAACTTATTAGAAGTTTCTGTAAAACGAAGCCCATCGCTAGTGTTAACATAGTGTTTAAAACTTGACAAAAAGGGGCATGGCTTTTAATTAGAAAATACAAACATGTAAAGAATTTTCATTTGATAAATGCAAGGTTGGGAACTTATAACAGATTTTTTATAATAATCCATAAAATGGTGTAAGGATTTTAAATAGAAAATAAAATCATACAGTAATAACCTGAAAACTCTAGAAAAGAAAGACGAAATTATTGAAATACTTGTATTTGATGTTGACACAAACCAAACAGGTTTACTGGAGACTAATTAAGTGAAACGGGTCTGTTTACACTTCACAATTGCTGTATCCCATGCTTATTGGACTATTCCGTCAAAACTTAAACCTAAAAGTCGTCTTCATATGTCAAAGTTTTCTGGTTATCACTATAGATAGTACATTTCATACATTATCATGTTTTCTTGGACACGCTGTATCCCTGCAACTCCGACATGCCGATGTTGAACATCTAAAGTACAGAATTACTTATCCGACATCGGAACATATCGTTGGTTTAAATGGTAAAACCTTACATTTGAACACCAACATTGGTAAATCCTTACATTTGACCAGCTACATTGGTAAATCCTTACATTCGACAAACTAAATTGTTAAATACTTACATTTGACCAACTACATTGTTAAATCCTTACATTTGACCAGCTACATTGTTAAATCGTTAATCTGACCAACTACGTTGTTAAATCCTTACATTTGACCAACTACATTGGTGTATCCCTATATTTGACCAACTACATTGTTAAATACTTACATTCGACAAACTACAATATTAAATTCTTACATTTGACCAACTTCATTGGTAAATCCTTACATTTGACCAGCTACATTGTTAAATCCTTAATCTGACCAACAATGTTGTTAAATCCTTAATTTGACCAACTGCATTGGTGTATCCCAATATTTAACCAACTACATTGTTAAATACTTACATTTGACCAACTACATTGTTAAATCCTTACATTTGACCAAAAACATTGGCATATCCCTACATTTGACCAACTACATTGTTAAATTCTTACATTTGACCAACTACATTGTTAAATCCTTACATTTGACCAACTTCATTGTTAAATCCTTACATTTGACAATCTACGTTGTTAAATCCTTACATTTGACAAACTTCATTGTTAAATCCTTACATTTGACCAACTTCATTGTTAAATCCTTACATTTGACCAACTACGTTGTTAAATCCTTAAATTTGACCAACTTCATTATTAAATCCTTACATTTGACAATCTACGTTGTTAAATCCTTACATTTGACAAACTTCATTGTAAAATCCTTACATTTGACCAACTACATTGTTAAATCCTTACATTTGGCCAACTACATTATTAAATCCTTACATTTGACAATCTACGTTGTTAAATCCTTACATTTGACCAACTTCATTGTTAAATCCTTACATTTGACAATCTACGTTGTTAAATCCTTACATTTGACCAACTTCATTATTAAATCCTTATATTTGACAATCTACGTTGTTAAATCCTTACATTTGACCAACTAGCTTGCCTGGTTTGCTTGAACTAATGATTGTGGAGAGTCCAGGCATAAAACTAAACACATAAATGAGCCTAAAATATAAATCAGCTTAAAATATAAATCATACCAACATAAACAAAAACACGTCAAATGACCCCCCCCCCACACGTCAAGCCCCCCCTTTGTAATAATGATATGACTCCACGAATGAAATATGTTCGTCGAAAACGCAATTAAACAAAAACTTAACTAATATAAAATTCTTCAACAATTAATTAACTTTATAACATTGGTTCCTAACAAGTACTTTCCAAATTACAAATGTACAAGGGAACAAAGGGAAGCTGTAAATGGACAACTTCTCTTTTTTCCACGATATTGGCAGAAACTGCAAAACTGATATAGAAAACTTTATTGTATTCATATATAAGAGGACGACTGTAAATACAGGTTTTTTATCGAGCAAGAATTTCCATATAATAAAGCACTTCCTCCCCACTGGTCGTGGGGAGGAAGGCCAGCCACAACAATTTCTCGTCCGAAACAAAAATCAGGAAAGAAAAAAATGGCAAAGAGTGAGTCACAAGAATGAGATCAAGAATTTTTCGTAGATATGTGGGCAGAGAAAGGGTAACCCTGTAAACTCCTGTCTACTATCTTTATTTTATTTTGTAAAATTGATAAATAAAAATTCCAAAATTTAATGTTAAAAAAACTTTTTAATCAGTTTAATGTTTTTATGCTGTACAATTTTGTTTTGAGCATTTTTTTTATTAATTTATTCATATATTTTAATTTGTGCACTCGGGCTTAGTACACACCACACACAATTAGCAAATTTAGCAGGAATATTACGTTTTAAAAATGGATTCTGATCAAAGTAACAAACATGGAAAAAAAGTAGTGCACTCATATCACACATTCTTAGTGGAACTAATAATATGATATTAAAACCCTCTGATCATTGATAAGTGAATCAAATAATTCTTTGTGACACTAGTAACCAAACCAAAACTGCAGAAGAGAGTTTTGGAACTTTCTTTTTGGAGTAAGAATTTAGCAAAACTTTAAATGAAATATTTGTAAACTTGATTCAGTTTTTACACGACAGATCCAGGATCCAGGATCCGCATCAAAAAAAAAAACATTAATCCTAAGAGCATTGGTTAATGGTTGCTGAATATTTCTCAACACACAAGCGCTTAAAAAATAACGTCCAGGTGTGTATCCAGGACTTTATCCAGGGGGAGGGGCAAAACATTTTTCCTTCCGGGGGTGGGGGCAGCACCAATTAGGACCCGGAAACCCCCCAAAATCCATAGATTTCACTGGCCCCGGGGTGAGGGGGGCCCCCCTGATAAGGACTCTGCACGTCGACAGCAGAGAATAATATTTAATAGAAAAAATCCAGGCAAGGTTTTTCAATTCTCTCTATAAAACAGTTTTAAAAGACAAAAAGAAAAAGAATAAAATCAAAAACAAAATTTATATTTTTTCATCCGGCGTTTATCTTGCATTTTGCATTATCATAAGACACATTAGAAAGTGTATGTGAATATTTCTTCATGCTTCAGGTTTCTTAGTTTTCTTTTCTAGATTTTCTCCTCTTGTCATCTTCTGGTTCTCTTCTCTCCTTCAAAAATAAAATTAAATGATTTGAAAAAAAAATAATTAAAAATGGACGACAGCTGACAATTTTCCCATTTTTTGATGATTTTAACCATTAAATTAATCAATTAACCCAATTAGTAATAACACATTAATACAATACTGGTGATTTTATTTTTAAGAATGGGGGTGAGGGAGGGGGGAATGATTTTCAAAGATTTTGAAATAAAAATGAAAAATTTTCACTTCAACTATTAAACATTCTTAAATTTTTCCATTTTGGTACTTGTTATATCCTTACTAAAAAAGAGAGAGGGGGGGGGGTTGAATTTCGAAGCAAATATGCATACCATTGTTTCCTTGTCTGAGGAGAAGAAGTCCCTGACGACAAGCTTGAACTCCCCCTGCCTGTTCTCCAGGGAGAGGATCTGGGTCTGGTTTCCGTCAAGATCAAGGATTTCCCCATGTCTCATGTCACGCTTCCAAACTTAAAATAGAAACTGATTCCTGGCCTAAAACTTTGATATTATAATGTTCATATTTTCACAACCTGGGGCCCATTTTGATGAATTTGAGTTATTTATCTTGTGGTGTTATTAGTAGGGCTGGGTGTCGTTCCTGATGAAAGATCGTTCTCTCACGGAAACAAACAGAACGGAACGAATTCAAAAAAGTAGGAACACGCCCAGCCCAGCTAAACGACATGGACGAATTTAAGACCTATCTTGCCCTGAGTCGAAAACTCTAGAATTGGATACCTTTCATCCTGATTGATCAATCTGAATATACGATGTGGACACTTTTAATTTTCTCCTTAATCCACTCATTTTCTCTCTTTTTGGATTTCCGTACTTTGTTTTACCAACGTGAGTCCTCTCATTAAATGGCGCGCAAAGTTTCAAATTTTCCGGCTTCTCTGATCGGCTGTTATATACACTTTTGTTGATACAAACTTGAGATAAAATTAATCTTGAAATTAACAAAAAGTGAAAATCAAACATTGATCTCGATATCCACAATTCTAAATTTTCAGCTCTGGCAGAATTCATAAAAAAATATCAAAGGCCAACAGCAACAGGTTGAAAATTTATTAGGATTAGAAAATTAGAGTATGAGAAGAGTTACTAGATTTTAAATGAACTTTACAGTTGGGGTATAAATAAAACTTTTTAGTTAGGATATTTAGATGCCCAAATTGGTTTCTAAGTACTATTGTTTTTAAATCATGAATATTGTATTAAACCCAAAAATTGGAACCCTCGCCCCCACATTAAAATAATAAATAAAATAGCAATAATAAATGTCCTCTTGTGTGACCGATTTGCCTCGAATCTGATCGGGAAACTTGGTAGAACCACGGGAATGTTTTTGGTATGGTTTAACAATTCCAAGTTCAGCTTGTTGACTACTTAAATAAGAAAAATCCAGGGAACGCTGGGTTCCCAAGCTAGTAAGCAATAAAATTTTACATTTTTAACTCCTAATATACCTAATTTTACATTTTTAACTCCTAATATACCTAATTTTACATTTTTAACTCCTAATATACCTAATGCTTTGCTATGCTTGCTCTGCTGAGAAAATGCTAGTTCAGAATCCCAAACTCTGAAACATTTCGATTTTAATTTCGATATAGATATTTTTATATCTCTTTCCCATACCTAGGGAAATGGAAAAATGATTTTTTTTAATTAATCAAATTATCTATATCTATTATCAGTTCTTCAGATAAAAAGAAGGAACAGTTTTAGAAATCTTTTTAACATTTTTGATTACTATTGTCCTGTTATTTCTACTTAACTTCACCTGACTGTTTCCGATCCAGAGTAGGTTAAAATAAATTGCTTCAACAGTTTTATCAGCTGAACGGGTTTAGGATCTCCCTGAAAATGATTTTAAAATATGAAAAAATAAAATTTAGAAAATACCTAATTGATTTTTTTTAAGGTAAGCCGATTTATTGTTTTGGGCTGGAACAATTTTATAATTATGCTTTTTTAGGAAAATTTGTTTGTGTCGCACAGGGTGTCTTAATGCTATCAATTTTGATTCTTTCGTAGAAAAGGGAAAACCAGCAATAAGTAGTCCATTAAAAACATCAATTGAAAACGTATCATGGAAGGTTTTGTTAACAATAAGCTGTGATTTGAATTTTAAAAGATATTTAATGAAGCCTCCCCTTTCTCTAATGTAAAACGTCAATATTGTCTTTGTGCAGTGCAAAGATTGCCAAAGGCGGAATTCAAAGAATATGAGCCATGTCTCAAATTTGAGACGCGGCTGATACATGGCTAGTTCCACTTGAAATTGTATTAATTGTTTCGAGATTTGAGCCGCCGTTTAATTGGAACCGGTTTATGGCGGATCATCGACGCGGTTTTAAATTCTCTAATTTGGTCCTCTGAACATTTTTTAACTACATAGTGTGCAAAACGAAACCTGATATTTGAGTGACAGCTTGGAGGTCTTTTATTACTTTTAGAATAAATTGTGACAATTAATCCTCAACCTCATTTTAGAAATAAAATTCTAGAATTATGATTTCTATTTAATTATACCTTTTCATTACCATGATACAGAGTATGTATTAAAGAATTTGTTTCAACATTGAATATATTCACTTTACCCCCACTCGTACCCAGCAGACAGTGAGGAATCTATAATATGTATTTAATACTAAATTAAAAATTAACTAATTTGCCCTCCCCCCCCCCCTAAAATCAAGCTATAGCAAGCATTTCTAAATTGCGCACTTTTTATTAATTTTGAGCAAAATATTAGGCAATTTCTGTTTGTGGAACATAGATTAAAACAGGGGGGAAGGGACGCCGCACCCGTATAGCTTCCTGTCCGCAATTCCATGCTTTTCGAATTTCCCTGCTTTATACCTTTGATTTAGATATTAAGAATTTCCCCTAAATTAAAATTTTAATTTTCACTGCATAGCAAACTTAGCAAACTTAGCGTCCTAAAATTACATTTTTTAAAAATTTATTTAAAACTCGAATATTTTCTTTTATAGGGACTACAATGTGTAATTTCACACAAATGGCAATGCCCGGTTCACAACGGTACCCTTAAAACCTTTGACTTATCAAGGTTGAGGGACTTATTCTCATTAGTTAATACGAAATTGCATTTAGTTCATGAATACATTATTTGCAAACTGTTTAAAGTTGTAATACTCGCTTCCTAGAATTGGAAGAAAACAATATTTTCTTTCAAATGTTTAAAAACCGCTTTTAATGTCAAATATTCGGTTATGTCAAGGGCCATACATTATTCATCAGCTGTGTTGAGTTCACACCGTACGCAGCGTAAACCGCGTTTTAAAAGAATTCAAGTGGTTTTCGAGAGATTTAAACACAGAGTTATCTTTACTCGATGATCAGTCAAAAGTTTGAAAAAGTACCCTTGTAAATCCAACATTATCTTCTTTACATGGCAGGTCACTTGAAATTACGCTTACAGCCCCTTTAAATCTAATGTTTGTTGGAACACGCTGTACCTTAAGTGCAGTGCTAAGTATGTTCAAGGGAGGGAAGGAGAAGGGTAGATTATGCATCCAACTCTAAAATATGTAAATTGTTGCTTTCTTGTGTGCAGTATTATGCAGTGGTCGGAGTAACTTATAAAAATAATCTATCTATTCTATACTATAGGGTACAAATCCTATCTTTAGGGTCCTTGCTGTCCTATCTTTAGGGTCCTTGCTGTCCTATCTTTAGGGTCCTTGCTGTCCTATCTTTAGGGTACTTGCTGTTCTATCTAAAGAGAACTTGTTGTCCTATTTAAAAGATGCTTGTTGTCCTTTCTAAAAGATACTTGTTGTCCTATTTAAAAGAGGCTTGTTGTCCTTTCTAAAAGATACTTGTTGTCCTATCTTTAGGATATTTACTGTTCTATCTAAAGGGAACTTGTTGTTTTATTTACAGGGAACTTGTTGTCCTATCTAAAAGATACTTATGTCATTTCTAAAAGATACTTGTTTTCCTTTCTAAAAGATACTTGTTGTCCTTTCTAAAAGTTAATTGTAGTTCTATCCAAAAGATACGTGTTGTCATATCTTAAGGGAACTTGTTGTCCTATCTTAAAGGTACTTACTGTCCTATATAAAGAAAACTTATTGTTCTATCTAAAAAATATTTGTTGTCCTTCCTAAAAGAAACATGTAGTTTGTCTAAATGATACTTTTTTCCTATCTAAAAGATATGTGTTGTCCTGTCTAAAGGGTACTTGTTGTCCTATCTAAAAGGTACTTGTTGTCCTATCTAAAAGGTACTTGTTGTCCTATCTAAAGGGTACTTGTTGTCCTATCTAAAAGGTACTTGTTGTCCTATCTAAAAGGTACTTGTTGTCCTATCTAAAAGGAACTTGTTGTCCTATCTAAAAGGAACTTGTTGTCCTATCTAAAAGGTACTTGTTGTCCTATCTAAAAGGTACTTGTTGTCCTATCTAAAAGGTACTTGTTTTTCTATCTAAAAGGAACTTGTTGTTCTATCTAAAAGGTACTTGTTTTTCTATCTAAGGAATACTTTTTGTTTTATCTAAAGGGTGCTTGCTGTCCTTTCTAATGGGTACGTGTTGTTCTATCTTAAGCGTGCATTTTTGTCTGTGCATAACTCAGGAACCCCTTACACGATTTACCCCACATTTTGATAGGGGAACTCGGGAGAGCCACGCGAATGTTCTTAGTTTGGTTTTGAGATTCTAAGTTGAGTGGGTCGACTGTTATACGAAAATTTTGGTTCTCGGTAAAAATCGACCAAGTGCGGGTAAACGGCGGAAGTACCTTTGAGTACCCTGGGCAACGCTGGGTTCCCAAGCTAGTTATCTATAAAAAACTTGTTGTTCTAACTAGTACCTGATGTACTTTTGTCCTTGAGTGAATTCCAGAAATGTTCCAAAGATATGATGTACTTCGGTTATCATCTGTAGACAATATGAATCCACTATCACTCACAGCAAGAATATCACTCAGTCTACCGTTGGTCAATTCTTGCAGGCTCAATTTTATTCTAAGCATTGCATTGGAGTAAGCCCTCTTCCTGTCAACATATTTTGCACAGTCACGAAAAAGAGGGATTTTTTATGCGAAATATAAAATTTTAAGGTTTATCAGTACCGTCAAAGATCAACAGTAGAACTCTTCCTGTTAAAATCACTTCTACATTGAAGAGGGAATTATCTATAAAACCTTTAACAAACATATTTAAAAAAACCACAATAAATGACATTTTTTATAAAATTTGTACTTCAAGAATAAATAAAAGGCTATTTCAGAAAATTTTTTATTTTTTTTTAGTAAAATTTTGCAAAAATAATAGAATACTTAAATAATTATGAAACATATCACTTTCCCCAATTAATTATTATGGGGACTGATGATAACTAAAAAATCCAGACAATTTAAATACCAAAATTAGTGGTATATGTTATAAGTAAATATCACTTTTATTTTCAAATATTTAAACAATCCCTTTATAGCAAATAAACATGAATTTGACCAGTTCCTAGGATTGCCCGGCGCAGCTAGTGAAACATTGAAGAGTTGAGGAGAACAATTTCCTCCTCCTTCTAGTCTTACCATGTCACATCTCATTCGATCAGTCAATCTAAGACGGTGAAATATTCAGTGCTTAGGATCCAGATCCGCTGGGTTCGCTTCCTGGATCCGGAACCGGACAAAATATCGACCAAAAACTGATAAAAAACGGGCAACGCTTAGCAATACAGCTAGTTAGTAATAAAAAACCTTTAAAAATTATTTTAACATCACTGTACACTCCAGTGGTAATGTAACATCGTCTGTACGCAAAATCCTCGCTACCGAACTTCTGACCTACTGCGATATCGGATCTACGCCAGCTGTTTATTTTTGTATTACTTGAGGGTTAGGTTAGGTTAAGACAGTTTCTGGGCCGAGTGCTGCAGCTAGGACAGGTTAGGGGCCGAGCGCCGCGGCTAGAATAGGCTAGGGGGCCGGGCGCTGCGACCACAAGTTCATCTAGCAGCTGTATAACCACGTGCTAGTAGATCGGATGAATAGTATAGCGGATTTGGCGTAGGTCAGAAGTGGAGTATATCGGATTTGCTTAGGTCGAAAGATACACCATCCAATCCAGTTCATATTATGTACCGGGCCGAATTTAAACTAGCCAGAGCAAGCTGTACAGTACAAATATAGACTATATAAGGCAAACCTGGACAGTACGCCAAATGAATGATCTCCTACTAAATAAAAAAACGATCTAAAAAATATTTTTAAAAATAAGTTGCCAAGAGTACTGACCTAACTAGGAATGGGTCTGTATAGCTCCATGTGCAAGAATCTGGACGAATTGAGCAGAAATCTGTAGATCTCACACGGAACCTTTGCTCCTCTGTACACTGATTAAATAGAATATAGAGGGGGGGGGGGGGCATGAAACTTATTACTCTCCGGAAAATTTAAACAGTGTTTAAACATAACTTAGACTTGTCGTATGAGGCTGATTTTTAGCGCGCGCTTTTTGTGGAAAAATGCGACTTTTTGACATTAAATCAATGTTAACTTCATTAATTGTACTTGAACATTTTTCCTGACACTCTTGAAACAAATATGCGCTAAATAAATTCCCCTCCAAAGGCTCAAATGTCCACGCGCGCGCAATAAAAGAAAATATCTTTGAATACTTATGTGTTTGGCTTAAGTTAGAATAGCAGGTGCATGAGATACATCATACTATAGCAAAATTGGGACAAGGAATTAATTTCCGAGGTCAAAATAGACATTGGAGCATTCTGACCGGCGTGCTGGTAGCCAACCATTACATTATGGGGCATCTTAGTACTTTTTTTTACATGTTGTATGTCGATTTATAGGTAATTTCGCACGAGGAATTCATTTCTGAGGTCAAATTAAATATTCGAGCATTCTGACCGGCGCGCTTGTAGCCGGCAGTTACATTATGGGTCATCTTCCCACATATTTACATGTTGTATGTCGATTTATAGGTCATTGGGCACGAGTAATTCATTTCTGAGGTCAAATTTAATATTGGAGCATTCTGACCGGCGCGCTAGTAGCCAACCAAATTACATTATGGGTCATCTTAGTAAATTTGTTACATGTTGAATGTCGATTTATTGGTAATTTGGCATGAGGAATTAATTTCTGAGGTCAAAATAAATATTCGAGCATTCTGACCGGCGCGCTAGTAGCCGGCAATTACATTATGGGTCATATTCCCACATATTTAAATGTTGTATGTCGATTTATAGGTAATTTGGCACGAGAAATTCATTTCCAAGGTCAAATTTAATATTGGAGCATTCTGACCGGCGCGCTAGTAACCAGCAGTTCCATTATGGGTCATCTTCCCATATATCTTACATTTTGTATGTCGATTTATAGGTAATTGGGCACAAGGATCCATTTCTTAGTAAAAACTTTTGTAGGACTACTCCGATCGACGTGTTAGCAGCCAGCAGTCACCTCCTGGGTCATCCTGTCATATGTTTTGCATGTAGTACAGTGAAACCCTTAATAACGAATACATCGGAAGAATTTATCAAATGTCGTCTTGACAATTTTTCAATGAGTTTTATATTCTATACTACGTAAATTTAAGTATTTGCGAAAATAAATAAATAGCCATGAATATGCAGGAACAGTTTCAAAGAGTTCCATATAATCATTTAATTAAAAAAACTAAATATCTGCAACATTCCATTATCAGAAAGTTAAGAATACGACATTTGATGAATTCTTTCGATGTATTCGTTATTAAGGGTTTCATTGCATGTCGATTATGGGGTACTGGAAACAACGATTCTCTTTCTTAGGTAAAAAAAAATAAGTTTCATAATTACCCTTTGGCCAGCAGCGCGCACGTCAGAGTCCTGAAACTTATTTTTTTACCTAAGAAAGAGAATCGTTGTTTCTAGTACCCCAGAATCGACATACTACATGCAAAACATATGACAGGATGACCCAGGAGGTGACTGCTGGCTGCTAGCACGTCGATCAGAGTATTCTTACAAAAGTTTTTACTAAGAAATGGATCCTTGTGCACAATTACCTATAAATCGACATACAACATGTAAAATATGTGGGAAGATGACCCATAATGGAACTGCTGGTTACTATCGCGCCGGTCAGATTGCTCCAATATTAAATTTGACATTGGAAATGAGTTTCTCGTGCCAAATTACCTATACATCTGTTGAGCTAAGATTGCTCTTCTAATGAAAGTCATTTTAAGGACTGGGACAGAGACAACAGAGAGAGATCCAGCCAACCCAGATGTTGTCCTGGTGTTTTATATTTGTATATTAGTGTTTTATATTTACATGAGAAATGTCATCTGATTAGTATTTATCTGAAGGTCTGTACCATTTCAGATAACAATTATACAATGAGATTAGACCTCAATTATTGAGTAAATAGCCATTAGAACCACCAGGAAAACATCCTTAAAGTCTCACTTACATTTATTATGTTTTTTGATATTCTAAGCCATTGTAGGCATTCTTATTTTAAACCTAATAAGTATGTTTGTGATAGATTTTCAACCTGTCAAAGACCTGAGAGCTGCAGGAAAGTGATTCTATATTATATCTGTTACAGATAAATATATGAGTTCCCAGGTTAGAGCCGGACGTTTTAAAGGTGTGGAGAATAGGGGCGTGACCGATATGCCTCGATCTGGCGAATCCCTAAGGTTCGTAGATCAACAAAATCGATATACAACATGTGAATATGTATCAGATTTATTTTGTAGTTTAAATACAAACCAAAATCTTAAAGGACGAGATTTTCTATTTATTGTGATATTCATAATGTATATAAGGTGGATACTAAATATCACTGACAAATTTTTGTTTTCAAATTTAAATTTTTATTTCTCAAAAACAGTTGAAGTTTAAGAGCTAACGTGCCATTATTTCAAACAAGCAGGGTGGCGTTATTTTTACATAATTGATTATTGTGAAATAAACATATTTTAAGCTTTTTATCATAAAGAAATCACTAAAAATTTACCTGATCTAGATGGCAAATGATCAACTCAGGTTCGGGTAATTGCTGTAGTCTAATCCAAACTTTATTATTTAGAACAAGCGTCGTATAGGAACCTAAGAAAGTAAACATCCCTTTGTCAGGGGTGTATGTATTTTCTTGAAATATCATCCCCTCTTCTACAAAATTAATTTACCCCTTCAGATGTCAAACATTTCTGCGCAGAGCGTCAATTTTGTCTTTGTCACAAACTAAAACTTTCTAAGTTTCTAATCCCTATACTTTTCTTCCTGATGGTGTAAACCTGTATTTAAAACTTAGGATATTTGGTCTAACACAATTCATTGTTTGAAATATCTAGTCTTTGACACTGGGTTGCAAAGTTATAGGAATTAGAAATTCAAAGTTTGTGACAAAGACGCAATTCCTTAGGGGAAACATTTGATTTTTGGAGGGAAATTGAATACATTTTCGGCTAAAAAGTTTAAATAAGGATGAAAAACTTGCCTCTGAATGTAGATTTTTGAATGTTTTCCCCTAGAGCAGGCGGGTTGTTATTCTTGAAATTGCATACCCCTGTGTGAAACAATCCCCCCCGCCCCACCCCCATATAATATTTTCTTTCTGATTTCTGCCAAGGGTTTACCTTGTTCTGAAGTTATTTTGAGAATCCCCTTTGATACATCAGATTGATGCCTAGAAACGAAAAAAAAATTAAAGGGATTGATGATTTAAGTTCAAGTGACCCTCTATTCAAAGACGGGCATGTCTGGGTCACAACGATACCCTTTGAACCTTTATCTAACTAGCAATGCTGATTACAGCGTTGTTTTCCATTGATGAGAAAACGGTTTAAAGGTTGTTGTAAATCGGACATTCCACTTTATAAACGGCCACTTAAAATTACAAGTCCCTTTTAGTCAAATTAAATGCTGACAAATTTTATTCTTGCAGGGGAATTTATTTTCTTGAAAAATTCCCCCCTCCCCTTTTTGAAAAACATTTGTTTTTAAGAGTTTATTCGCTAAATTGGGGGAAAATAAACGATTTAAAGGGGGGGGGGGGAAATGATCATTTTTTTTCAATTGCAGTTGATATTCTTATTTTATCCCCAGAACATTTAAAACCCCCTGAAATCTAGAGGAAAAACAAACCTTGTGTTAGTCAAACCAATTTCTGTTTCAGAGACAATCAAGTTTTCTGAAACAAAAACCTGGCTAAAAAGTCAAAATAAAAAATAATGATGATAAGTGTATCATCAAAGCCCCCAACACTCCACAGTCATAATTTTTCAATAATTTTAATAATGAATCAATGTGAAATAGTTAGTCTGTACTTAGTAAGAAAATTATGAATATTTATCGATTTACAGACTTATTTCAAAATTATTTTTAACGAGAAAGTTACAAAAAGAATATATATAATATATATGAAGTATATCTTTTTGAAGTTATTCATAAAAATGCAAATACAATACATTTACTTCAATCATTTTATTAAAAGTTTGGCCTGAATTTAGGCAGAATGACTATTTGAATAGTTGTTAATGTCATAATCCTAACCTGCGTTAAGAAGGTAGTTGTGGCCTCTGTTAAAATTGACCGCCAAACTAATCTCACTAAACCGCCCAGTACGCCAGTTTTCCTGGTAAATATGAATCAATCTCAAAACAGTTTCGGTCAGGTTTAATCTGACTAATTTTGAGGAAGATATTTAACTAGCTAAAAACGTGATTCATATTTAATTCCGAAATTTGACTTTTTTTCTGTAGCAGAAATACACAAGTCACTATTTTTAAATACCACAAAGTAATTTAATCAATTTTGAGATCAAACACCAAGTTTTTCATTTATTCTTGGGGAATAAAATTTTTGCAGGGTCTCGTTATAAATCACACATGGCACTTCACAAAATTAATTCACAATTGGAATGGCGTCTTAAGTTCCTTTAAGATTATTTTATTCTTCAAAAACTCTTCCCCCATTGAAACTGAGATTGGCACAATGAGTGAGAAAATTATACTTTGAATACTCAATAATCAATATGTTTGAAGCGAAAAAACATACAGAAAAAATGTCTTGAAAAATGTCGAATTGTTTGCCATAGATTCATAATTTTATTTCTGATGAACCTGCGTTTTTGCCCAAGTTTTCAAAATTTGTCTATAGTCGTCAGCCGGGGGTTCTTCTTCGTCTAGAGATTCATCAATAATCAGACATTCATCATCAGAATCTTCAATTGATTTTTTCAATCTTTTTCTTTCCCTTCTTTTCTCTTCTTTCTCTATTCTCCTTTGTTTACAAGCACGCCATCTCTTCTCAAAGTCGTCCAATTTTCTAAAAATACAAAAAAACTTTAAAGAACGGTCGTAATGTCCAGCCCTCTTTAAACCCCTTAATACCCCCCTCCCCCTTCTGTCAAATTTTTTACTTTTTCATGTCTTAGAATTAACATCAAAAGCAAAAAATGTTGATCTTTTGATAAAATATTACTTTAACTAGGATTGGACCTATAATTTCAATGGCTTAAATACATTTTAAAAGAACGAGGGGATGAGGGAGGGAAGGCAACCTCCCCCCACAGCTTCCGAACCTCATATTACCGATTGCGGCAGTAGTCGTCCCCATAGGGCTTCCGAACCTCCCCCAAACAGTCTTCCGAAAATGATCTTCCATTTATCATCGTCAATTTCTACTTAAACCGGGACTAATTTTAGATTATTTAAGCACGGTAGTCATCTATGGTAAAATCAAAGTTTGGACTGAAAAAAAACAAAACTTTGTAGATTTTGTTTCATGTCCCGTTTCAGTTCTTTGATTAGAAAAAAAGAAAAAAAATATCATGCACCTGTTAAGGATACTATAGATATATAAATAAGCGAATTAGTTCCCTTTTTCAGTAGAAATTGACGATTATAAACAGAAGATCATTCCCAGACGACTGTTTAGGGGAGGTTCGGAGGCCCTCTGCCGCAAATAGGTAAAATGAGGTTCGGAAGCTGTGCGGGGGAGGTTGCCTTCCCTCCCTCAGCGGATAAGGGCAAAATTACCAAACAATTGTTTTGGGATGGGGTAATTTCCTAGAAAAGGATTTTTGGGGTCTGTCCTAGTGAACGATTTTTGCCCCCCCCCCCCCCCCCCCCCCCCCCCCTCCTATCAATTTTTTACATGACCAAATTAGTATTTATTTAGCATTATTTAGGGTTAGGTTAGGTTAAGACACTTTCTGGGCCGAGCGCTGCGGCTAGGATGGGCTAGGGAGCCGAGGGCTGCGGCCACGGGTTCGGTTAGTTAAGACGCTTTCTGGGCCGAACGCTGCGGCTAGGATGGCCTAAGGGGCCAAGCGCTGCGGCCACGGGTAAGGTTAAATTGATACACTTTCTGTGAGATCCATGTACAAAATTAATAGGAGGGGGGGGGCCTGGGGGGTCCAAAAATCGTTCTCTAAGAAAATACCGATTTTTGAACCATCTTCCCCCTCACCCACCTTCATCAAAAATGTACATGAAATGTTGAACATGTGGCCGCAGCACCCGGCCCCCTGTTCTGTCCTGGCAGCAGCGCTCGGCCCACGAATTGCCTTAACCTAACCTAACCCTGGAATAATAAATATTTCATGTGTTTTTGATGAAGGGAGGGGACGGGTAGGGTGGTCCAAAAATCTTCCTCTAGGACAGAGTCTATAGGGATGGTCCCAAACCTACTAACCTATTTTTAAACTTGATTGCTTCGAAATATTTTTTCCACATGTTGTTTTCTCCAATATATCTTCCAATACTTTCATGGGATACTTCCAGACTAAATACATCAGAAACTTCAAGATATTTCATAATATTAAACAAAATATCAATCTCAGTCTGTAAAACTCTCAAAAAATCCGATCCTTCCATTCTAAGAATCAACAATTTGAACTAAATTACGAATTCAAATTTTTATCCGTGAGCATATTAGTTTTGTGTTTACAGAAAGTGTACTGTATTGTATGGTATGGTTGGAGTATTTTCGACCTACGCTAATCCGCTATACTCCACTTCTGACCTCAAAAAATCTCACATATTACACATCCGACCTACTAGCACGTGGTTTTAATGCTGCAATATGGACTTGTGGCTTTAGCGCCCGGCCCTCAAATAATACAAAAGTAAACAACTGGCGTATGTCAGAAGTTCAGTAGGGAGGATCTTGCACGTATAGAGAATGTAAAATTACTAAATTGTATGTATACCATAACCTGGGCTCCGGCTAGGGGACCGGGCGCGCGGCCACAAGTCCCACAAATCCATCTTTAGCAGATGTAAAGCGTAAAAAACCATGTGCTAGAAGGTCGGATGTGTAGTATAGAAGATTTGCGTAGGTAGAAAGGTACACTAACCTTGTAAAGATGCCGCGGCAAATGCCCTTACTTTACTAAATGTAAACAATCAATATAACCTTATTCCCTACAGAGCGTCCCATATCATAAAGTGGATTATCTCCAAGGTGTACAACAAAATACACATTATACTTGAAAATTTTATTATTTTGGTATATTCCTAGAGAACAATTTTTGGACCCCCAGGTCCAGGCCTCCGATCAGTTTTGTATATGACCTTTAGATTTCAACTTAATTACACAAAATTTATATGTTAGTTAGTTATTTAATTTCAGGGTTAGGTTAGGTTAGGACAATTTCTAGGGCTAGCGTTGCGGCTATAAGACAGGCCAGGGGCTGAACGCTGCGGCTAGGGCAGGATAGGGGGCCGAGTGTTGCGGCCATTATCTATTATTTATAAGAACAATTAATTAAAGTTTAAGTACAGTTGTTCTATAAAGGGGGGTAGAGCGAGGGGGGGGGTCCAGAAATCGTTCTCTAAGTAATTACCATCTTTGGAACCCAGGGCAAAAATGTGAAGTGAATGGAATGAAAATTAAATAAAATATTTATAATTGTGTTATCAAAACTGGTAGTTTTAACTCCAAGTTTAAATTTGTAAATATGTAAATTCTCTTCCTTCACAGAGTGCACATCCAGTTTCGACCACTGCGCCCCTTAAAATATTTAAAAATGTTCACCAACAAATGATATTTTACATTTTTTGTGGTAGGGAGAATGATGGATAACATCAAAGAGGAAAAAGTATCGAAACTTTTCATTTTGTTGAAAAATTTGAAATAAATGATAATCAATTTATTATTCAATCTAAAAAAACAGATAAATATCCTCATACACAACTACATATTATAAATAATATATATTTAATTTTAGATGATGTTGTTTAATATACAACACGAGAAATAAAGTTGAAAAAGTTTGAGATGAAGGGAGAAATTATTCCAGTAGCTTCTTCCCTCCCCAATACTACTCAACAGAAAAAGAAGAGATCTTGTAGAAGCAAGGTAAGGTAACCCATTTAGCAAGAGTGGATTTAAAGTTGATAATTTCTGTTTCTAAAATCACGTGATCATGATTCTGATCAATAATATTTTATATTATTTAGGTAAAGTGCTGCAAGTGTTCTGGATGTAAAGAAAATCCTAAGGTGATTTGTGAATATTTTAAGTATTGCAACATTATTATGGCTCTAAATTGCGATTTTCGGGACTAATTAGAAAATTAAAAAATTAAAAATCATTAAAAAAATTGTATACACCTTAAATACAAATTTTGCATGCAGAAAACACTACGTTTTTCAAGTATCATTTGCATATTTCAGCGATAAATCTTAATTTTAATCCAATATGATATGGGATGCTCTGTTCAGTTTAAAATAAGTTTTTAAAAACAGTTTTTTTCTGAAGAAAATGATATATTTCAGAGAAAATACACCAAGTCATCATCAGTCAAGTGTTTCATTTGTGAAAGAAATTTCAGCAACAAGTACAATCTTAGTCAACACCATGAAACATCCAAGGTGAATAATATATGCATATCAAAAATATTTGAAATTTAAATTTAACTAAGGTGTAAAAAGCTAAAACATTTTTATCAAATATAATTAAAATTGAAAATATTGATTTTTCTGAAAATCATCCAAGGGGGTATTTTGGAAAGTGTTGTAAACAGACACAGTATTTTTTTATTGATATAAAGTATTAATATTAAAATTAACTTTTAAATTAGGAAATTATAAGGGGATGCTGTGTATTACCTCTACACTCTGCAATCTACAAAGAATGATAAGAAAATAAATATTTTAGGGAAAATGTAAGCCGAAGTCTTACTGGGTAACATGTCTTCACTGTCGAAGTTTTTTCAGCAATGTGGCAGGTAATAGGTATCTGACAAAATTTTGTAAAATGTCGAATAGTTCGTTACTGTAAGAAGTTATGAAAGACTGTAAAGAGGACAGAAAATTAAGATTTTAAACTTACATTTATATTTTTCACTTCTTGTTTAAAACTAACATAGTAACTGACGAGAAATATAATGTGTGCACAGTTTTTATAGCAAGGTTGCGTGCAAATCTCAAGGTTTGCACGCAGAATTCGTATTGTTCAGAGATGAATGTCAAAAGCGGTAAACTTCTAAATAATTATGTAGATGCTGAGTTAACTTTGCAGCAAGTCTTAGTGGAAAAGATAAGTTTCATTTAAAACATTTTAAAAGGTCAAGTCCCACAATGATTTCTTGAGACATGCTTGGGATTGAAAAGGGAGCTTGCAGGGTCAATTGTCCTTTTTTCATCTGAAACAACTTAAAATTCTTCTAATCAGGATATTACTGTCCGTTTTGGGAATTTTAGCATTTTCCCTAGAAACAATACCTAGATCCACAGGAATTGTTCAGCTATTAACATGATGGGGCAACATCAATTCTCCATTGCGCACCTCTTTAATACACATGAGTCTCTTATATTCTTTATTTCTGGTACAGCGATACAGAGCTAGGACCTGTGAACTGAAAAACAATACATCAGTCACGGGTTGCATAAATATTAAATTAGTAATAGAATAATTTAAATAAATAAAATTAGCCAAGTTTACATTAAGATTTGCTCCAGGTGTGCTAAGTGTGATTAAATTGTAACAACAATTATGAATTGAAATAACACTTACAATGTGCTAACTGTATATAAGTTGCGAAAAATATATATAAATTAAAGTAAAACTTACAAAGTTGATTAGGCCGGAGAATTTAATAGCTCTAGAGTTGGATGATTGTTACCAGCTGTCTCTTATACATAACTAGAAATAATAAGAAGAGTTTATATAAAGGCTTATCATGTGTTAGAGGAGATAGTCACACTTTTCGTCTTTAATTGTTCACAGATATCACACGAAACTTGATTATATACCTTTATCTGCTCGAAAGCAGCAGTCCCGATTTAGAGAAACACAGATGCTTCCGACGGGACTTCTCCGAGAGGAGGAACGGATACTTCTCCGAGAGGAGGAACGGATACTTCTCCGAGAGGAGGAACTGACACTTCTCCAAGAGAGGAGGTACGGATAGTGATGGGATCTAAATAAGATTAGGTTAACATTAGATCTAAATCTTGAGGGCAGCTTCATAATCGTTCTTCACCTTTATTTGCTCGAGAGCAGCAGTCCAGGTTTAGAGAAACACAGATGTTTCTGACGGGACTTCTCCGATAGGAGGACGGATACTTCTCCGAGAGGAGGAACTGATACTTCTCCGAGAGGAGGTACGGATAGTGTATATGGGATCTAAATTCTATTAGGTTAACATTAGATCTCATCTTGAGAGCAGTTCATATTTAATCTTCACCTTTATTTGCTCGAAAGCAGCAGTCCCGGTTTAGAGAAACACAGTTGTTTCCGACGGGACTTCTCCGAGAGGAAGCGAAGGCATGGTGCTCAACAGGGAGGTATTCTGCAAGCAGTCCGCAGAACATGTACAAACAGACTCTCGTTCAGCTGAAGCTGTCATCCTCGTCCAGGAGTACGGCAAGGACACATCAGAGGAGAACTTGGTCTAAGAGATAAGGGAGTAGTTAGTTTCGAATGAGCTTCAAATAGTTCTAAATTTTCTAGGAATGTATTTTCACCTGTTAATTTATTAGTTCATAGTTCAAAACAGGCGTAGAGATACAAGAATGACCTGGATTCACTTTATATAACATCCATAAGTTTTGCAGCATGGCCAAGTTTTTAGCATTTTGCCCATGCCATTTTGTGAAAGCAATCATTACTGGAGTGATTTTTTTTTTTTTGCCAATGGTCACAAAACTTTTTTTCCTAGCCTCTTGCTCCTATTCAGGATTGGTTGTCGTCATATTATACAACCTTGCACCGTCCTTAAACTTCTTGTTGAACTCGATTTCTATTTCTTTCTTGAATCAGTGAATGTAATTCACTATTAAAGGCAATGGTGGATATTAATTGTGAACATGCTCATATGACTCAATGCAGTCCTTCATCTTATCATTAATCCGCATAGGAAGCACACTATTTTTAACTTTAATAATTTATTTTAATTAAATTTTACAATATTTTAAATCTCAATATTATATCAGATAGAAACATTTTGAGACTTCTATATTTCTTGTTTTTCATTCTTTCTTCTTGATCGTCCATTCCTTGTCCATCCTTCCATCATACTTCAACTAATTTTGAAAAAAAAAAATGAATTTTTTTGATGTTTCTGCAGCTAGCCAAATTGCAGAGGCAGAACTATTTTTTCGTACCCTGTATCTATATTCTGAGAGTGGCTAGGTTACTCTCTAACTTGTTTTTTTTTATTTAGCTTGAGTCATGTTACTGCTTCAGCTTCTACATTCCTATCAACGCACTTTCAATAAAATTTTCCTGATGGGGGGGAGAGGGATGAGGGGGGCGTTTTACACATTTTCCAGTTTTTTATCTCAAGTAGGACATAGAGGGGGGATGGGACGTCTGCCATCCTGTGAATTTGTCTTTATTTGCTATCGGTGAAAACAAATTAGACAGTGTAAAGCTCAAATCTCCTTCTAATTTTTCCTGTTCAAAGTTTTCTTCTTCTTTCTTGTTTATCTTGCTTCTTGTTTCTTGTTTTTATACTTTAAGGCCTTTCCATATAGTTTTTTTAACATCAAGTTGTGGAGCAGGTAGGAAAGAGATAAGGAGGTTTGTAGGAAGAAGGGTATAGGGGATTTCTCCCTGTGCTCCTTCATTTCATACTTTTTCTCAGTCAGGGGAATTAAGGAATTTACCATAACTGCACCCCTTATGCAAAATGGGGAGTTGTGATCCCTGAAAGCTCTCTTGAGAGGAATCTTCCATGGCAGTCCAGTCCTCACATCTGGTCGAGTAAAAAACCGGTATCGCTGTGCATGGCTTGTATTCCTACAAGGGGTTAAACTCCTCTTTCAGTGCACCATGCTGAAGATGAAGTTTTGTTTTAATCTATGCTTTCAGCTTCCCCTATAGGATACAAGATGCGAAACTAAACTCATCGCTTCTCCAGCTGTAATTCTGGGACAACATAGAAGGTCCGCTCTGCTTGGGAGCAAACATGCAACTGTAGGAAGCACATTATCAAGGGAAAGAAGCATCAATTGACTTTCTTGCGGTGGAGACTTTACTGATAGACCTATCAACCTTAGTGTTTCCTCAATGAATGCAACAAGAATTTTGAATTTGCCTTTGTTATTTGCAATTTTTTTGTTATTTTTATTCCAGGAAATGTTCTTCTTTGCAAAGCATAAATAAAACATGGCAAATAAAGGCAAACATATTTACTGTGAGTTAATTTTATCCTTTACTTCTAGAAGTTATGAAGCATACAAGACAGATACGGTTAAAAGAAGCTAGGTTACATGTATACATGCCGGCATTGCACAAAGGTATAGTTTGAACCAAAACTAATAATTCAGGTCAATTTATCAATTGCATACATGCTTTACATCTTTCCCTGAAATAGGTTGTTTACCTTTTTTAAAATACACTTGATACTAGGGTTTCCAGCAAAATAAAAAAATTGTTTCGTGCAATTATTTTGTTTCGTAGCAAATTCTGCATTTTCTCGCCACCCTTACATAGTAAAAAAAAACCCGCAAAAGTTTGTACGATCTTTTCCTACTGAACTCACTTGCAATCAAAATCAGTTGCTATCAGCCTTACTTGCTATCCAAACATTTGCTATCAATCTCATTTACTATCAACTCAGTTGCTATCACATTCATTTGCGATCAAGTCTCATTTTCTATTTGGCCTTAACTGCTATCGACACATTTGCTAACAAGGCTCACTTGCTATCAGGCCAATTTGCTATAAATCCTCAGTTGCAATCAACAATTTTACTATCAATCATCATTTGCTATCAAATTTTCGACTTTCTCTCAATCCTTATTTTTACCATTTTTTCTTCTTCTAAAAGTCTGAAAAAAAATTGAAAAATTTCTCAACAAAAGGAATCCAATGAACAGGTTTTGATAGCAACATATTTATAGAAACAACTTATTTATGGCAAGCAAGAACTGGTTTTGATGCAACTTATTTTGAAAGCAACAAGTTTTGATAGCAACTAAGGACTGGTTTTGATTGAAACTTATTGAGAAAGCAACAAGTTCATGATAGCAAATAAGAACTGGTTTTGATAGCAACTTGTTTAGAAAGGAACAATTGTTTATGATAGCAATGATAGCAACTAAGAACTGGTTTTGATAGCAACTTATTTAGGAAACAACTGAGTTTAATAGCAACGTATTTTGATAGTAACTAGTTTTGAATAGCAGATGAGCATTGATAGCAGTTGAGACTGGAGACCAAACGTTTTGATAGCAAGTGAGGCCAGATAGCAAATTGACCTGATAGCAAGTGAGGCTAGATAGCAAGTTTGGCGAGAGCAAGTTAGGCCCAGAGCAAGTGAAACAGATAGCAATGAATTGATAGCAAATGAGGGGATAGTAAGTGAGGCTGGTAGTAAATGAGGCTGATTGCAATTGAGTAGATAGCAAGTGAGTTGATAGCAAATGAGGGGATAGCAAGTGAGGCTGGTAGTAAATGAGGCTGATTGCAATTGAGTAGATAGCAAGTGAGTTGATAGCAAATGAGGGGATAGCAAGTGAGGCTGGTAGAAAATGAGGCTGATAGCAAGTGAGTAGATAGCAAGTGAGTTGATAGCAAATGATCTTGCTCTTAATACACAAGCAAATTTGCGCACTTTTGCGTGAAAGTTTGCTTCCCCTGGAAATCCTATTTAGCAGTTTAATTTCCGATTTTAGCAAAACCTTTTCTTCATTATTTAAGACTTATGAATCCGGGTAAGCTGTGAATAAACACATCAGGAAAATCCATGAAAAGAAGGTAAACCTTTACAAAATCCATGTTTTTTTCTTTTTCAAATGAAGTTAATAAATTGAGATGTACCGCTCCTATAACTACCTATTCCTTTTCCCAAATTCAATCATATTTATTGTAAACATTTTGTTTACCAGCTCAAGAGAAATGAAGCTTCTACGGGTCTCCACGAGCTAGGACTAGGACAGAATGAAGAAATATTTTCCGTTAAGGAAAGTATTCTTCCTGGTTCTACTGTAGAAGATACTTGTACAGTTTATGTACAGGGAGCAGGTTCTACTGTAGAAGATACTTGTACAGTTTATGTACAGGGAGCAGGTTCTTCTGTAGAAGATACTTGTACAGTTTATGTACAGGGAGCAGGTTCTACTGTAGAAGATACTTGTACAGTTTATGTACAGGAAGAGATCATTAAAAGAGAAAGAACAGATGATCAAGGTAAGATATATTCTTTAATAACAAGTGCTCAAAACCAAAATACACACAATATTATTTATCAATTTAGGGGACATATTTCCCCCTGCTAGGAAAAGTGGAAATTGCATCCCTGTTGACTTTTTAAATTTTTCAGAAAAAAGCATTATTTATGAAGAAGATCCTCTTCACATTGAACCCAAGACACTAGAGGAGAGAAAACAATAAACATGAGGGAGTAAGATACCCTTGTAGTGAATGGGATTATGCTGAAGCTCAAGCTTTAAGTCTCAAAAGACATATTAGCTATAACATGATGGAGAGGTATATCATTGTGATCATTGTGGTTATACTGCTACTGATACCAGTAGTTTGAGAAAACATTATAAAAACCTGAAGGATTGAGATATCCCTTGTACCAGTGTAAATATATTGTAACCAAAGAATGAGATCTGAAGAAAAATCAGGAACTAGTGAGATCTCCTTGTGGCCAATCTGAATACGGCATACGCTGCGCTGAAAACAATTAGTCTAAAGAAGCATAAAGAATATGAACAAGACTGATAAAGATATCCCTGTGATCAGTGTGGTAAGAAGTCTGAAACCCGTTAAAAATGATAATTTATCTACCCTGAAACTCTTCCTTCCCTTTTCTACTTTCTTTTTTCTTCCTCAACCCTTAAACTTTTTCTCTTTTTCTCTAATTTCTATTTTCTTCCTCTACCTTTGAACTACTCCTCTCCTTCTCTAATTCTGCTTTTTCCCTCTACCCTTAAACTGCTCCTTCCCTTTTCTACATTCTACTTTCTTCCTCTACCCTTAATCTCTTCTTTTCTACTTTCTTCCTTTACCGTTAAACTCCTCCCCTTCTCTACTGTCTACTTCTTCCTTCACCCTTAATCTCCTTCTCCCCTTTCTTCCTTTACCCTTTATTCAGGTTTTGTTTCATGTTGATCCCTAGCTCTAATATTTTCCTGGATCAGACAGATGTCAGGTTTTCGAAATTAGTTTGAAATGATAATAAGTATTAACAAAAATGTCCTTTTTTACAAAATCGGTTAATTTAAACACCTATACTCTGCCAGCGGCAAGTTGCCAGGAAAAGATTGCTATGTATCAGCTTGTCAGGCGGCTCTTTGACATTTGATTTTGATATCCTCACTCCTCAGTGGGCATTTTTAATTTGAGAAACGATATTTAATCCAATTCAGTTATCCCTTCAGGGTACAATTACGCTGCAGGAAATCAAATGAAGGTTAAATCAATCTGCAGGTAGAGCTTAAGCACCGATCTCGATATCCACAATACAAGGGTTCCCAGCTCAGTTATTTTTGATTTAAACGTGCTTTTTTCAGAAAGAATGGCAGAGAATATGGAAGAAGTGAAAGTAATAATTAAGGGAGAAAAGTCTTCTGTAGAGGATAAATGTACTGTATTTGTACAGGAAGAAAAGTCTACTGTAGAGGATAAATGTACTGTATTTTTAGAGGAAGAAAAGTCTACTGTACAGGATAAATGTACTATATTTGTACAGGATGGAAAGTCTACTGTAGAGGATAAATGTACTGTATTTGTACAGGAAGAAAAGTCTACTGTACAGGATAAATGGACTATATTTGTACAGGATGAAAAGTCTACTGTACAGGATAAATGTACTGTAATTGTACAGGATGAATGTGTAAAAGAAGAATGCACAAAAATTCCAGGTATTGTTAATTTTCTCTTATCTCTATAACTTCTTACTTCTTAACCATTAAAAGGCAGAAAATAACCTCTTAAAATATAAGACAATGACAGTTAGTTTATGCAATAAAGTTTTGACATCTATCTATCTATCTATTAGGACATCCCAATAACACAAATGTTACCAGGAAACCACCCCTCCCGGCAACCCTCCGCCTCCCTTTGGAGTACTTGGGTTACAGAGTTAGCATGACATGTGCAATGATACTGTTATAAAAAGTTCTGTATTATTGGATTGACTGACCACTTTCTTGTCCTGACTAGATTGTAATTATCCTCTTATCTTATCTTCTAATATTAGAGAATATTGATTGAAAATCTGGTCAAGGGTTGAATTTTGACATTTTTAGATCGAGTTTGGATTTTTCTATTTATCAAAATATCTTTTTTTTCAAATATTAATATGCATTTCTTTATAACAGTTCTATATGTTGCATACATACAGGGTGGCGTTAGTTTTACATAATCAACGATTTTGTATTTAAACAAAAAACATATTAAATGTTTTCAGATTTTTTTAAAATAAAAATCAAAATATCTCTTCTCAAACTTTTACCCATAAACAGTTATTCACACAAATATAAATTGACTTGAATTAAGATTTCTATTTTATTCAAGATTTTCATTAATAATCATTATGAACCTTTTTTAATGCTTTCTATCACTTGCGAGATTCATATTTTACATTATTTTAATTCTATTTAATTTTTCAGATGAAAGCAGTATAAACGAAGAAGATCCTCTTTTTATTAAACCAAAAAGATTCAAGAAAATTAATCATAAAGAAGTAAGCTACACCTGTGGTGAATGTGATTATGTAGCAAACCAAGGTAGTAATCTAAAAAAACATGTGGAGACTAAACATGAGGGAGTAAGATATCCTTGTGGTGATTGTGATTATGTGGCAACCTTAGCTCAAAACCTCAAAAGGCATATTAGCTATAAACATGGAGGAGTGAAAATGAGATATCCATGTGATCATTGTAAATACGCTTCTACTGATAAAGGAAATCTTACGAAACATATAAAAAATAAACACAAAGGAGTTAGATATCCCTGTGACCAGTGTGAATACGCTGCTATTGAAGCAGATAGTCTGAGGAAACATATTGCAAATAAGCACGAAGGAGTAAGATATCCCTGTGATCAGTGCAAATTCACGGCTACTTCAGCTGGTCTTTTAAAGAGACATATTGAAAATAAACACAACGGGGTCAGATATACCTGTGAGCAGTGTAATTACTATGCAAATACAAAAGGTGCTCTGAAAAAACATATTAAAAATAAACATGAAGGTGTGAGGTACCCTTGTGACCAGTGTGAGCATGTTGCCACTGCAACAGGACATCTGAATAAACATATTGAAAGTGTGCATTTAGGAGTGAGATATCCCTGTAATCAATGTGATTATACTGCTAAATATATGTGTAATCTAAAGAAACATATTGAATATAAACATGGAGAAGTGATGTATCCTTGTAACCAGTGTGAATTTGATGCTTCTACAGCAGGTGATCTAAAGAAACATGTTGAATATAAACATGAAGGAGTAAGATATCCCTGTAACCAATGTGAATACGTTGCTACTGCAGTAATTAATCTGAGAAACCATATTAATAACAAACATAAAGGATTGCGATATCTTTGTGATAAGTGTGAATACGCTGCAACTACAACATGTCATCTAAAAAGACATGTTAAATATAAGCATGAAGGAGTAAGATATCCCTGTAACCAGTGTAAATATGTTGGTACTACAGCTGGTAGTCTGAAAATACATATTAAAAATAAACATGAAAGAGTGAGATATCCCTGTGGCCAGTGTGAATACGCCGCGACTCAGAAAGGTGATCTAAAGAAGCATGTTGAATTTAAGCATGAAGGAGTAAGATATCCCTGTAACCAATGTGAATATGTTGCTACCACAGATAGTAGTCTAAAAAGACACAAAACAAGAAAGCATATGAATTAGAATATCATGTTGATTTATTATAGTTATGGAATGAACAATGAACATGATACGTGAACACATGTAGAATTTTAGGCATGTAATCCATTAATCCATGACTGAAACTTTTATATGCATCAAACTATTAAACTAGGATCTTATATTTTAACTATTAATTGTTCCTAAATCTTTCAGGATTTTCTCTTAAAAAAACAATAATAAAAATTTTTGCGAATTAATCATTTTTTTAGTGGATTTTTCAAATTTTACGAAAATCTAAAATTTTGGAGATAATTTGTTTGTAATTCCTAGCATCCAAAAACCTTCCCTGAGGTCCCACAAAAAATTTGGACCCGCTCGGTTCAGTTTATTTGTTTCAAACAAACAGACAAGCAAAGTATATGTACTATTATAAATAGATGTTAGCTTCAAAAATTATTCGTATTATTTGGTTTTAACAAATATCTTTCTGTAGTTCTGATGTTCTGTTCGAGTGAAAATCACATGTTTAATTTTTTACATTTCAGACAGAATGGCAGAGCATATAAAATAAGAATTGATTATAGAAGAAATGGAGATAAAGAAAGAAGAAGCTTTTATCAAGGAAGAAATTTGTTCATCTTCTAGTTTGGATGTGCAGGAAGAATATGTTAAGATGGAAAATACAGAAATCAAAGGTATCAATATTATCTAAATTATTATTAATATTATTATTTCGTATTGCTTTTACGTCCAGAGAAGGGCGAGTAAAAAAAAATCTGGATTAGCCTTGTTTTACAAAATTTGTGTAGGCGTTCTTGTTTTAGGTGTGAAAATATTAAAATTAAGAAAACCATTATTTTTATACAAAGAAAAAAATCCACAAAACTTGTTTTTATGAAAATTTACTTAATTTTATTTCGCAGATTTTTCTGCTTAAATTTACGCATTTTCAAAAATAATAAATTTGGATATTTTTTTCTGGGCAACATTAAGTCATCCATATAAACCTTCCCTGGGGTCATATAAATTGCCAACTACATGTTTTGGACTGATGAGTTCAGCTGTTTGGACGTTTATTGGATTTAAACAAACAAGCCCTTTGTATAACATTGAATCCTAAACAAAATCAGGCCAGATCTGAACTACTAGATCCCATATAGACCAGGGCAAGTGGAGGAGCTCAACCCTGTTTTCATTGTATTTTAACCTACAGGTCGTTGTACTTTGTCAGGTTGATTAATTAATATGTTTATATTATATATGGATTTAACCATTTTATTTTGAATGACTTAAACTCCTTGAGTTTTGTATGTATGTTGTAGAGTCTGAAGAAAAACTGTATATTGGTGTTAAAACTAAATCCTGAGTTATTTAGTTAATAATTTGAAACTCAATGATAAAAAGATTGTCCAAAGTTTCTAAACATATAAATTAAGTTGAGTAAAATTGAATAAAACTATATATGTCATTGTAATGGGTATTTTGCGTGCAAAAAAGTTCCGATCAAAAAGAAAGTATTTCGGCGCAAAAAAAGCTTTCATTTTGATCTCAAACAAAATATTAAAAGTAAAAATCCCGGCAAAAACTTGTTCTTGATATAGAGAAATTCTCACATTTTATTTATGGTTTCAGGCTATCCCCTTTCAGCTTTTTTAACTCATCCCTGAAAAGTTGCTAAATGCGCCCCTGTTTATTTTCTATGATTTCTATTCGATTTTTCAGATGAAAGCATTAGTAAGGAAGAAGATCCTCTATTCACTGAACCTAAGAGGCTCAAGAAGAGTCAACATGATGGAATAAGATACCCATGTGTTAAATGTGATTATGTTGCAACTAGAGCTAGAAATCTCAAGCTGCATATTGAAAATAAACATGAAGGAGTAAGTTACTGTTGTACTAAATGTGAGTATGTGGCAACCCAAGCTTCAAATCTCAAAAGACATGTAGAATATAAGCATGAAGGAGTGCGATATCCCTGTAATCAGTGTAAATATGCTGCCACTACAGCAGGTCATCTAAAGACGCATATTGAAAATAGACACGAAAGTGTGAGATATCCTTGTATAAAGTGTGATTACGCTGCTACGACAGCAAATAATCTGAAGACACATATTGAATTTAAACATGAAGGATTAAGGTATCCCTGTGATCAATGTGAATACGCTGGTTCCACAGTAGGTAATCTAAACAAACATATTGACAGTAAACACAAAGGATTAAGATATCCCTGTAGCCAGTGTAATTATGCAGCCACTAGAACAAGAGATCTGAAGAGGCATATTATAAATAAACATGAAAGAGTGAGATATTCATGTGATCAGTGTGAATACGCTGCTACTAATTCAGATTTGTTAAAGAAACATATTGAAAATAGACATGAAGGAATGGGATATCCTTGTGACCAGTGTGAATTTGCTGCCACTACAGTAGGTACTTTAAACAGACATACTAAATATAAACATGAAGGAGTAAGACACCCATGTGATCAATGTGAATACGCTGCTACAACAGCAGGGCATCTAAAGAAACATATTGAAAACATTCATGAAGGAGTGAGATATCCCTGTGACCAGTGTATGTACGCTGCTACTTCCAAAAGTAATCTTAAAAGTCATAAGAATAGTAAACATAAGTCTTGAGAGTTGTTTAAGGATTTGCTCCGCACTGTTGACTTCCAATTATCATAATTCTCTGATTGTTTTACCCAAGGTTCAAATACAATAAATTCATCTTTCTATTCAGGCATTTATTATTATCAATTTTCACTATTCTGTTTTTTATTTTTCATTTTCTTATTCCAAGGGAGAAAATTGCCATCTTTGCATGGAGGGTTACGCTTACAGTCCCTGTAATCCTAATTGTGACTGTGTCTGTGAACAGCTCTAACTGTATACACTTTTATTTGTATAATATAAAATACAGAGGGCCCTAATAAACAGGGGTATTTAGTGATGAATTTAAGATCGTCAAATCATTTGTCCTACATATCATTTGTCTTACATTAACGGGAAAACATCATATGTCCAACACTTCATTTGTCCTATAGTAAATGGAAAATATCATTTGTCCTACAGTAAATGGAAAATATCAAATAACAAATGATTGAGGGAAAAATGACATGGTGCCAAAACTTAACAACACGCAGAAAAATTTGTTCAGTTAAATTTACAAAAACGTCAAATTTGTTCGTCAAAAATTACCAACACGCAGCAAAATTTGTTGATGAAAACTTTAAAACTTGAAAAAAAACATCCTGAAAATGATGCGCTAAATAAATTAAAAGTAAAAAAAATATTTGTTTTTTTTTTCATTTTTGTTATAGAAACGTTCAAGTCATTTATCTGAAAATTTTTATCAAAAAAGAACCAATTCATAACTCATAGAATATCAATTGAAAAAAGAACAAAATCCAGTTACATATAGAGTATACATATTATAGAATATACATATTATAGAGTATACATATTATAGAATATACATATTATAGAATATACATATTATAGAATTTCAAAACAACTTTTCAGTAAGAGAAGTTTTCAATACTAAGTGTTGAATTTGATTCAGTTTGATGTGATTTTAGAAAACAAAAAACACTTAACATGTTTATTTATTCAATCGTAAAATATATAATTTATAAAATTATCTAGAACAAATATAAGAATATACATTCAAATTTTTATTTTCCAATTTGTATAATACCTCATTTGATTACATAGCAATCATGAAAGTAATAAATTATAAATGTTCCAAGAATCTATATAATAATTCTCTTCGCTCATATATATACGTTAACTATAGCTGGCCTATCAGTTGGACGAGCTGGACCGAATGGGCTGAATTTTTTGTTGGACAGATTCTTGGGTAACATAGGCTTTATAAAAAATCCAACTTTTTTTGGATTTTTTTGGATGGAGTTACAATTTACATTCTACTACAATGAAACAACAGTTTCTACAATTATGAACTGGTTACTAAGTAAGATCTATGATCTTTACAAATTTGAATAGTTCGGATTTCATCATCAGTGTAAGACAAAGATAGATTAATAACAAAACAAATCCGCTATACTCCACTTCTGACCTACGCCAAATCTGCTATACTACACATCCGACTTACTAGCACGTGGTTTTACAGCTGTTATACATGGACTTGTGGCCGCAGCGCTCGACACAGAAATTGTCTTAACCTAACCTAACCCTCAAATAACACAAAAATAAACAGCTGGCGTAGGTCCGATATTGCAGTAAGTCGGAAAGTTAGTAGGTCGGAAGTTCAGTAGGGGGAATGTTGCGTATAGACGATGTAACAATACCCAAAAGGGATAGAACAGTAAATGTCTTCTTTTCAAGATTATAGAGTTTTTCGTTCACAGTCTAAAATTATACACTCTGAAATACTCTGTGAAATACACTCTTAAATACACTCTAAATTACGAAATAAAAAATCGATTATTTGGCAACAAAAAGTTTGACGACTACCAACAATCGATTTTTCGATTTCATATTTAAGAGTGTAGTATTTTTTTATATTAGATTTTTAAATTAAAAGAAGTTTTAGAGCATAGATGAATAACAATACAGATAGAACACTAGATCTAGTCTTTTAAAGATTTGGGGGGGTTTTGTACACTGCAATAACCATGAGGCAGAGGGTCAAATGAGTTCAGCGCAAGCAGCCTTGAATTACAAGACAGAGAGAGAGAATGCGTGTAATTCCTTTGGGCCTCTGCCTCAGGGTTATTGTAAACGAAAAATCCCTAAATCTTAAAAATACGACATCTAGTGTTTTATCTGTATATGTTATTAATCTATGAATACAACAAACAGCTTGGATATCAAAAAAGTTTTGACTGTTGTCCTTTTCTAGCGTTATGAATATGTATTATGAATATTCATTCAATATTGTTTGAAAATGTGCTTCTAAATATTTTTCATTTTTTGAATTAAAAAATACAATGGAGTAAAAGGTTTGTTGTGCAACCTTCATCAGTTGTAATTGGAATTAATGCAAGGCCCTGGCCGTATATATGCCTTTTAAACAAAATTTTCGAAAATCTTTTTAGAAAAACAGGAATTTTGCTTGATCAGATTAAAAAAAGCTGAATCCAAGCACAATCAATCAACTTTTGCGTTAATTTTTTAAGAGTAATTTAAACGTTAAAAAGAATTATTTACTATAACACGGTGTTTACAATACCTTTTTTAGCTTAATCATATGGTGCATACTATAATAGTTATGAGATCAATGAAAAAGATTTTTTGTGCTATAGAAATCGCAAAGATTTACAACTCAGATTGGTGCAGGTTACCGAAAATGCTTATATAGAATCTTGTGCGCTTCGCCTCTGATTTTCAATGGCTTAACAAAATCCAATTAAAATATTTAATTATATCGTTATTTTTGAATTCTGAATAATTTCTTCTGATTTGCTGTGTACAGAGCAGGGGCTTCCATTCTCCTTCCCTACCAGATCAAGTTTCAGGCTCACACTGTTAAAAATCACATTTTGTAAGTGCAGTTTTAACAGTGCACACTAACAAGAAATTGAACAAATTCAAAATGATCCAAACTTATTTTAGTGATAAGCGTCTTTTAATATGTCAAGGAACATATGAAAAGTTTACAATATTTGATTAATAATTATGATTAAAGCAGAATCTGCAAATAATTTGTAGAAAAATCGTAAAAATATTGAGAATATGCAACCTTGTATATAACATACTTAAAGGGACTGTTCGCTTAATCTCAAATGACACCATTTTAAGATGACAATGTCCGATTCACAACGGAAACATTGACACCTTCATATGATCAAAAATGTGGAAGATATTGTTGTTTTTCCAGGGTTTAAAAGTGTTTATTTATTATAATTCCCCTTTTTCCTTTAGTTCTTCCTGTAGAGAAATAGCAATTGAAAATAACTAGTTTTTAGTCTCATAAATATTTATATTTAATTCATACTTGGATCATACTTTTAAGGGTACCGTTGTAAATCGGCCATTTTGCATGAAGGCTTATTTAAAATTACGCTGAAAGTTCCTTGAAATAATGTCAAATGTGCACGACAATGATAGATGGAGTGATCCTATCACTTTTTATCCACGGGCAGCTAAATTTGAATTTCTGAGCCGGGTCAACTTTTCCGGTCCCAGTTTGTACTGTGCCAAGGTTGACGCGGTCAGGATTTATACTTCATATAGGTTGAATTTACTTTTACCAAAGGGGCAGATTCGCGTGTATCGTACTTAATTTGATTATAAAGCAAGCTTTAAAGACTTCGAAAATAGAAAATGATTAAAATGAAATAACCATCGTCATCGTATGTACGTTGTACATGTTTTTTCTGTTATAAAAAGGGCGTGAAATTAGAATGAGTCAGATTTTGTTTGGCAAACTGTTGAAACTGGAAACAACATGATTTCTAAAGTAAAGAGACACACATGTTCTGAACAGAAGTTATTTATTTACAATAAATTGACATTGATTGCACTTTCAGAGCACCATATATTTATTGATCCTCGAACTATACCAATAAAGCCATAGATTAATCAAAATAACAGATAAGACAGTAAATATCGTCTTTTCAAGATTTCAATGAGACTCGATCACAAAAACCCTGAGGCAGAAACCCATGTGGAGTTTCGCGCAGTCGGCGTAGAACAGGCTCTCTCTGTCTTGTAATTATACGCCGACTGCGTGAAACTCCTCTGGGCTTCTGCCACAGGGCTATTGATAACGAGTTTCACTGAAATCTTGAAAAGACGACATCTAGTGTCATATCTGTTATTTTAGTTAATCTATGAATAAAGTATTGAGAAATTCAAATATTTTGTTTATAACTATCAACAAAATTTATCAAATTTCTAACATTATGATTATAATTTGGCACGAAATCAATGCCATTTCAATTTTTCCAGCAAAAATAACTGCAGCTTAATTAATAATTTTCTTGCTTCGTCGCTATACGTTAATAACGCATTTTCTTTAATAAAAATTTCATAAGTGCATTGAAATGTTACCTGTTGGATTTAGACAAAATAAACTTCCTGCTACTTCCTAAAATAGAAAAATACATGTAACCTTTTGATAGTTCAGTTTGTCCGTAAAATAGGTCTGTACACGTTGCACAATTGATGTGTGTTTCATGTTCATTGGACTATTTAAAGTTATAAAAGTTGTCTTCTTATTGCAGAGTTTTATTGTTCTTACTGTGCTATCTATGCAATGTCTGCTTTATCCAAGGTTGTATAATTAACAAGGTTGGTTACTCTCGATGCGCTCCAATGTACGTGAAAAGTCGTCTCCTAAGATAGATAGATAAAAACCTCATATGACGTCACTCTCGCCTCAGTGACGTCATGTATGAGGATTTTATCTATCTATCCTAGGGTACAACATGTTTGGTATATTGGAGTGCATCGAGATAGTTACCAACCTTGTTAAACAACCTTGGCTTTACCTGTCATCGAGTTTCTTCTTTTATTTGGAATAAGAAGATGATTTGGCGTGGGAAACATCTGCTCCATACTAGGGGTAGACATACATGGCTTCCTGTATAGTCTTGTTAATCGTTTATGGTTCGTTTCCGGCTCGTTTTTTCCATTTATTTTCGTTTAGAGTCAATTTCTGGCATAGTGTAAGGAAAACAAATATTTTTAAAATTGTTTCTTTTGAATATTTTTTTTCTATAATATATGCAAAAAAAATAACTAAAAACGACCCCAAAACTTTTAAAACCCTAATTTGTTATAACTATCGTCTTTGGTTCGTTTTCCATTTTTTTAGGACAAAAATATTGAGTTTAAAGAATGCAAACTTTAACAAAATACGGGTTTGGAATTGAAAAGTTTTATTAAACGTTTTTAAAAAACGAACCAAAACGATTAACAGCTCTATTCCTGTGGTTGTGTCGACCTAACCCACTTAGAGTAGACAACCTTCTGCTGGAGCAATGAGAGTCCTGTCCTACTGTGGTTGTCGAGACAGTTCGTTTTAGGACAAATTCTTCAAATAAATTCCTGAATTTCGAGTTTTCCCTTGAAGGACGCTTTCCCTCAGTATAATCTTCCTAGAAGTACAACACATAACTAGAGATGGTCATTGTTTTTGTGAACGAACGAAATATTTCGTGAACGTTGACGTGTCGTTATTCTACTGAGCGAACGAATTTTCCAAAAGATCTTGAAAAATTATATTTTTTACTGAAAGAACGATTTTTTGGAACATACTTTAAAAAATATCGGTCTTTTTACTTACAACGAACGATTTTAAGTGAGAAACTCTGGATGGAAACGACTATGGTACCTTAGGAAGACCATTTTCTTCCTTATATAGGATGAAAGTGTTTTAAATCAGCCGTGTACATGTGTCAGAACAGAAATATAACAAGGAAGTTTGTGATCAACTTCCTATTAGAGAGAGAGATATAATCAGACGAGTAAGGTAAACTGCCTTTTTAATTCAGAAATTCTTACGAGGCATTTGACTTTTGGGACGCAGAAATACAGTGTACAACACAGCAGGTTCAAATTTGACTCTCCGATTCAAATTTTAAAATACAGGAAGGATTTGATTCAAATTGAACCGGCGGTAGTTCAAATTCATTAAAGTCTTTTTTTCTCACAAAAAAAGCGTGAAAAAAGAAAGATTAATAGGTTTTTTTTGCAAGTTTTCCATTTCAAACATTTTAATATTTTGATTGATCACTGAAGTTTCTCCTCACCTCTGCAATAGTTTCCAAATTTACAAATTCAGATTGTTCCGCGCCAACCTCGACTTCAGCTGCAGAGCCAGCATATGGTTCACATCTTAAACAAAAAATTTCAAAATCCACTTCATTTTAGAATATCAAGAAAAAGATTTTCAAATTAGATAAGAATAACAAAATTCACTTCATATTAGAACATCATAAAAAAGGATTTTTCAAACGGTGAATCCCAGATATATGAATACATAGCATAGAGATTTTTATAATGTCGTATCACATATTTAAGATCAAATGCAGTGGAAAAATGAGTTTAATATCAATACATCAATTGCATTCATATTTCAGGACTAATAATTTATATTATTTACAATTGCATTCATATTTCAGGACTAATAATTTATATTATTTATAATTATTAAAAAACTTATGACGGTCTATGTATTCATATATCTGGGATTCACTGTATTAGATTAGAATAACAAAATCGACTTCGTATTAGAATATCATAAAAAAAGATGTTTCATATTATGTGTCAGAAAAAAAGATTTTTCATATTTTTATATCACAAAAAAAAATTCATATTAGAATATCAAAAAAAAAAGATTTTTCATATTATAATATCAAAAAACAAGATTGTTCATTAGAATATCAAAGAACAAGATTGTTCATATTAGAATATCAAAAAAAAAGATTTTTCTTTTCATATAAGAATATCAAAAAACAAGATTTTTTATATAAGAATTGCAAAAAAACAGATTTTTCATATTTGAATAGCAAAATAAAAGATTTTTCATATTAGAATATCAAAAAAAAAGATTTTTCATATTTGAATAGCAAAAAAAAGATTCATATTAGAATATCAAAAAAAAAGATTCATATTAGATTATGGAATAATGGAGGTCACTGTGTCTTTAAAAAGCTTTGAGAAAACAGAATACTGCTGGCTTGATTTGGTTTCAGCTGATACAACAAAAACTAAACGTCATATGTTTAGTGTCAAACATAACAGATTATCCTGAAACAAACCCCTGCAATACATGGATACAAGGAGATGCTGGCGCCTCGAGAAATGATTTTAAAATCTATTCCTATATCTGATTCTGCTTGTACACAAGTACACCTTTACGCTATATTTATTAATCTAATACCTGAATTGTTCTGCAGCTACGGTGTACGGCAGCTCATCAGGGACCACGTTATCCCAAAACTGGTCTTTGATCAGAGGAGGGTGAGTCTTAAAACAAACATTTTAATAGAATTAGTGTCACCACACGGCAACCTAATGTAAATTGCACGTGTAAGATTTAAATCTTATATGATTTCAATCATAGCTTATTTTAATGATATGACAAGCTATTGAGAAGTATAACAAACGTTAACTTCCGATTTTCTTTAATAAAAGTTCAAAGTAGAAATTTCGTCATATATGGAATTTTAATCTCACATTTTTGAAAAGAATTCCTAATTTTGTATATATTGTATATATTTTAAAATAAATAATAAAAATTGTTGAAGCGTATACAGAGTAAACAACTTTATTGAACTAGTTGAATTGATTCTATTTTTAATATTTCAATGCAACAGGATATATAATAAAAGTTAAAGAAAAAGTTTAAGAAATAATAATTTTAATAATATCAAGATAAAGGAATTGAGTCTTTGGAACAAAATCAAATATTTAAACCTCAAAATTTTTAAAACTTGATGCTGAATACCTTTAATTTTTCAAACTCAGATTATTTGATCTAACAGAATTCATAGTTTGAAATATCTAAGGTCTGCAACATTTGGTTCCAAAGATATTGTGATCAGAAAATCAGAGTTTGTGGCAAAGACTCAATTCCTTTAAACGAAATCAACGTAAGATATGTTTTTAATCACAACTTTTTTTTAAAGAGTTAACAAAAATAATTTGAATTTCTAATATGTAACCGAATAAATCAAAACTAGAGAAGCTGTAGCACACAAAGTCGTATCATTCATGTTGCTTAAATTTTACCTTCTCTTTTTGTCTTGTTGCGATTATGCCGATATATTTTGTAATATTTTTATTTTTCATGATCTGAGAGTTACTTTTCAAAACATTTATTCCTGTTTCGAGGAATTTTGATAATGAAGACGACATTTTCATATTTTCCAGGAATGTTAAAAAATCCAGCGCCAGCGAAATATTATTTTTTTAATCAAAAAAAAATGAAATATTAACTAAATACAAATGCGTCGAAAAATAATCGATGAATATTGTTTGTAATATCTGAATGATTTGTTTGGAATTAAATTGTTTATTTTACGATTCGAGTTGAATGTTGCAACTTTTCGAATTTGTATGTACGCTAAGTTTTTCGGTGTGAGTAGTTTTTAATAATTTTCTCCTTATAGACACAACAGATATATAAGTGAGATTAGTAGCGATAAAAAGCGCTTATTTTTCGCAGTAAACCTATACCCCCTATAATTTTTCGCAAACACTCCCTTTATCCTAAACTAACCCTAAAATATATACTAATCTCTCTCTTTCTTGTAATTCAACGAGGCAAGCTCACGTAACATCCTTGGGCACCTGCCAGTTGTGTATGGGTTATTATTCTTTAACAGCTTCAAGGAAAGGTTCCGGAAGGCCTTGCTGGAACCAGATTCATCCGGGAAAAAAGTGAAAACCCTAATTTCAGATTTCTGTTTACATCATGGTTCTTAGGATTAAAATCAGTAGAAAATTTAAAACAATAAGGACTGAGGTTAATTAAAAGTTTATTTTAAATTTCTGAAAACATCATAATTTATGTTTTCTTCATAAGTATAAACAATGCTTAATAGAAACGAATGCACTGCAATCGGCAAACCTAGATTTGGTACTATTATTTTTAACTTATTTATGAAAGCTTTTATTGCCGGCACTGCAGATCGCATCCAATCTTGGCATCAGGAAGATGACTTTGTTGTTGCTTCTCTTGTTTTTATGAATGATAAACGCAAACTTAATTACTGACATAAGAATAATTCAAAATTTTCTTTTCATCCGTAGCTCTTTGGAAGAATAAATTGTGTTTTAAAACATCACTCCAGTCAAGGTAGAAAAAAAGAAGAATGTCAATTTTATGCCACTTTACTGGTATGACTTTGTGACCTCATGGCGTCTCCATTTCCTCCTTTAAATTCAAGAAGGGAAAAAATGTGTTACGTTGAATCTTACAGTAAGCTTTTTAAAAAATATAAATGTAATGAACTGTACCTGATGCAGCTGATCAACAATTAGATAGGAGACTTGGATATTCCGGTCAATCATCAGATTCACATCAAAATCATCATCATCTTCACCGAAGGGATTAATCAATGCTTCAGCGACCTAAACTCTTTATGTTTAAACTGAGTTTTGAGAAAAATAAATCAGTGTTTCTCGAAGCACCATTGTTCGATTGTTTTTCAAAATTTTATTGGAAATATTGTTATTTTAGTAAAAAAAAAATGATAGTTTGTTCAGTTTATTATCTTTCATTTTTAAAAAACGAATTTTTTTCTTCATTTTTCTGAACGATCAGTTTCGTTTAACCATCGTTTTTGTTCTAAACGACACCCTTTTTCATGAAAATATTTGTTCAATCTGAAAAATCTTAATCGCTCAAAAAAATGTTGCCCATCTGTACAATTCAATTTCAACTTCTGCTATGAAAATGTGCATCTGGTTTCAAATAAGATACACAAGTTACCCTAATTCAGTCAAACTTTCATAAATTTTAAAATCAATTGTTTTTTATCATTCAAAAAACTTCTGTTATGGAGTTTTCTAGTAATTTTGTTGTCGTAAATTTTTATAAATTTCATCCATTATTCTGGCAACAACTTTAGCTTTAAATATAATGCTTTTACAGTAATTTTATCATAATTTTCCAAAAAGTTTTCAAGAAATTTTCTTTTTAAATTGGGAAATTTTCAAAAATAAAAAAGGTCAACATTTTTTTTAAAGCGATATTTTTCGATTTTAACTGTTCCTAAACCTTCTCAGGGTGTTATGTGGGATGCCAAAAGATCGGTTCAGCCGTTTTAACGTTTCTTAGATACATGCAGACACATAATCAAAGATATTTAATATTCTTAGGCTTTAACTTATACCTTTAACCAGCCCATGTAGAAGAAGAACTGTAGAAATGTAAACACTGGAACAATCATAGTCGGCTCATCCCTAAATAATATAATATATATAGCAATCTAGATGTGGACTAGAAGGGAAAAAGTGTTCATGGAGAGTGTTGGCAGAACAAGGAAATGTCTGAGAAGGAAAAATCCACCAAAACCCCACAAACATTTGACACAATTGAAAGTTTCTGAGACCAAATTCGCGAGGCTTGTTAGTTGATGAAGTCTGATGAGTTCGGTGTCTGAAATGGTGTTGTAAGCAAAGTTGTAATGCAAGATTTGAAAGATGGCGCAAAGAATTGGACAACAATTGCTCCAAAGAGGTCTGGGAAAAGATATTAATTGGTTTGCTGAAACGTAGATTTCAACTATATAAACCCTCAATGACCCTTTCTACAATAAAGGTTTACTTTCCTTAGACTTTTTAAGTTTATCCTACCTCTAGAACACGCATAAAGGGGAACAAATTTGAGTCTTGAGATAAAATATTTAGTTTACGGGCTCCAGGAGAAAGCTAATTACGTCCAACATATTATCTGATCGACTAGCTAGTCATTGAACCGGTAGAAATATAGTGAACGTTAAAAAAGTAATAATATTAATGATAATAAAAATTACTTAAGAAACTGCCTGGCCAGTAGAGAGGAGATTACGTAGGAGTAAACTGCCAAAGTTACAACCTGTAAAGTAAGAAGGTAAAAAAAAATCCTGAAATGCTTTTGAAATAAAGAAAATAAAATATTTTCTGAGATAATTCAGAGCAAAAAGAACTTATTACTCGCATCAAACTCTAATTTTAGAATCCCAAAATCAAAGGTCATGACTTTAGGTCGCAAAGTTAAAATGATTAGAAAGCTGAGGCGAATAACTGGTCCTTTATTTATTTTATTAGCTTTCATTGACAACAAAAATGTGGGGGTTGTTTTAGGAGATTAAAAAAACAAAATATTCGGTTCAAATTTTAAAAATGTAATTATTTAAAATTTTTTTTGATTAATTTGATATTTTACCTGTGTATAAACCAAAGGTACAGAAACCCAGTCGTAGTTGAGTAATCCTGAACATTCAAATCTTTATTCATTTGAGTTCTAGAAGCATCTTTTGATACCAATAAATCGAACTCCTTCAATACCTTATCTTATTTTAATTACTTAATTATTGAATGAATTTGGGGTTTTAAAATTTTTTCTTTGATGATTGTTGCTTCTAATTTGCTACTTATAATATTTTGCTAATTCTTTAGAATTAATTTGAGACATATAAAACTATTTAAAGATCTGTAAATCCTGAATTTGAGCGCAAAGTCGACGTTCAAAATTGTACTTTTGATTGGATACGTTTTTTTAATTATTAACGACGACTAAAAGTGTAAACAAAATTCTACAGTAAACTACTCAGTTGTTTAGGAACAGGTTGAGAAAATAAAAATTAATCTTATCATCGAAAATAAGTAATCTTGTTCAATTATTACTTTCAATTTTCTCATTATTCACAAAGATTTTCTGCAGATTTTCTGGAAATTTTATTGAAAAGAAGACATTTGAAAAATTTGGAGAAAGGAATAAAGTTTTTGTCACAAATTTTAATTTTTCAATCCCTATACCTTTGTAACCTGATGGTGTGAACTTATGTTATTTCAAACTTAAATAATTTAACTCAACAAAATTCATTGTTTGAAATATCTATGGTCTGTGCTCTGTGTTGTAAAGATATTATAGGATAAGAAAATCAGAGATTGTGACTAAGACTCAAATCCTTTGCAAAAAAATTCATAGAAAATAAGAAATTCAATATAATGATGAAAACGAAATAATTGATTCTAGCATTGATTTATTAACATTTTTTTGAGAAATACGTGCCTTACCATCTTATTAGTTTACTATAGAATTTTCATCATATTTTTCGTCGTCGTTATTTAATAATTAAAAAAAAACGATTCTCAAAACGTACCCACCCAAATTCGTGATTTTGAACGTTTAATATGCACTCAAACTCAGTAATTAATGGAAACGTTTACATGTGTCAAGAATTTGTCCACAACACTGCATACTCAGCTCAACTACCTTACATAGCCGGTCTGTCCCTTCTAAAAGTTTCACGTGCAGTAATCAATATAAGAGATAAATTATGATATACCGAAAAATCCATTGACACCATACTTTTAATTGTATACAATAACAACGTTGTTATTTTCTTCCCCTCAGGCCTCAATCAATCAACATTTGGGATCGTATTGGATGGAATTATAATGGATATGCGGATGCCATAAAACTAATAAAAACTGTGGTAAATTAAAGGTGAAAACTTTTTTAACCGAATTAAGAATAAATCTACCTCTAAACAGAGCTGTGTGGGACCTGCTGAAAAAGGTTCAATTCCGTATAATATAATCGTCCCGTAAACTTTTATCAAAATATCGCTCTAAGCTCAGTGTATTAACTAAGGGGCAGATTTTTTTGAATATAAGTTTAGAAAGGTTTCGCTGTTCATTTCCAAAAGCTTTTTAAGGTTTCTGATAGACAGGTTCAGGAAAGGTCTTCACTGGTCAAAATTGATACGGGGAAAATGGAAACCTTTTTCCTTATTAATGTACCAGTCTGACGTTTGTACTTTTCCTATGTTTGTAAAACTGACGTTTGTACTTTTCCCATGTTTGTAAGTCTGATGTTTGTACTTTTCCCATGTTTGTAAGTCTGACTTTTGTACTTTTCCCATGTTTGTTAGTCTGACGTTTGTACTTTTCCTATGTTTGTAAGTCTGAAGTTTGTACTTTTCCTACATATGTTTGTAAGTCTTACGTTAGTATTTTTCCTATGTTTGTAAGTCTGACGTTTTTACTGTTCCTATGTTTGTAAAAGTCTGACTTTTTACTTTTCCTATGTTTGTAAGTCTGACGTTTGTACTGTTCCTATGTTTGTAAGTCTGACTTTTGTACTGTTCCTATGTTTGTAAGTCTGACGTGTGAACTGATCCTATGTTTGTAAGTCTAACGTTTGTACTGTTCATATGTTTGTAAGTCTGACTTTTGTACTTTTCCTATGTTTGTAAGTCTAACGTTTGTACCTTACAATAATACATATTTATCTTTGCTTATTGAAATATTCTAACTAAATGCATCAGTGAAAGAACTTAATTTAAAATGTTTTTTTTTTGATGGATTCCAAGTGCGTATTTTAAATCACAGTAAAGTTTTCAATTTAAGGTAAAAAAAAACGGAAAATTTATTGATTAACGGTGTTAGCAAGCTTAAAGCTTTTGGGGCACGCAAATTCACAACTTTTTAACCCTATCACGATGGGGGGGGNTTGAGTTTATACCTTAAACCTCTTCTTTAAGTCAAATAAAGCTCGGCCGCTGCAGAATATTTTTTAGAGAAGTGTCTAGTTCGTAGTGATGCTGCATGAAATTTCTAAAATCCAACGGAAAACTGGCTATTTCCATAAAAACTGAAAACTAATAGACGAAACAAATACTTGGGCGTGCTTGCGACGCGCCCGAATCCTTGATTAATGGTCATTAGAATCTATTTATATAACTAGATTATCCTAAATCTGTTGTAATTTCTTGTAGAAAAGCTATAAAATATAGGTTTTTTACAATCTTTATGTCTCCTGTATAACCTTCGTGCAAAAGAATCGAAGAAAGCAAAGACGACTTTACAAAGAAAAGACTAAAAAGATTAAAAAGAGTAAAAGATATGATCAAACATAAAGGATGTCAAGAATCAGCGCGAATTAAAAATATGCTTTAAAATGCCCGTTTTTCATAGACCCTAATTCTCTTTCAAACTCCATAAAGCTTTTTTAACTTTATTTTTAACATTACAAATAATTCTATAATTTTTATTTCTAAAAGTTGTTAGTTCATCGTCGAAAAATACAAACAATCCACCACCAATTTATATTAAATATAATGTAAACAATAAATGTGTAACTTTCCTTTTACTTTNCTTTCTTTGGGGGGGGGGAATATTTCCACAACCTCTACTTTTAAAGGTTTTTAAATATTTTCTCCTGAAACACAAGGCATATGCATTTTTAAAAGAAAAACAGAAATCAGTCACCCCCTGCTGACCTCCTAAAATACTCCACTGTGCCGCTAATGGGGGAGGGGGGGTCCACCCTCCCCTGTATTTTTTTAATTTTTATGATAGTTGTGAACAAATTTTGCTAAATTTTTTTGGCATATAGGGTAGGTTGGAGGACGGGATAGGGTTAAAATTGTTAATTATTTTTTCAGCTTTTGCTTTTAGATATAGAAAATAGCCAGTGCATTTGAAAAGAACACTACCGTAAAATATTTTAATAAATTTTGATTTTGATTAAAGTTTCCAAATACTCAAATATATATGTAACCACTAAAATATATCCAATAAAACTGTTTGAATCATAATGCATTAAACAATTAGAGAAGAATTTGTATTATGTGTGGTTTTTTTAGGTTCACCCTGTACATTAGATAAAATGTTTGTTTATCAAATTACGTGGTGCAAAGTGGTGATCTAGGTAAAAGTGATGGGTAAAATTCCATTTAAATGCATAAACCATAATATAAAGTTTTTAACATTGAAAGTGAGCTAGGAGCATGGACAAGTATACAACAGCGGAGATTAAAGGGACTGTAAGCGTTATTTACAGTGATCCTCAATTCAAAGATGGCAATGCCCGATTTACAACGAGACTTTTAAAAGTTAGATGTGCATGATTTTGTTTTTTAAAACTATAGATTTCATTTGCTTTTCTCTGCAAAAGTGACATGCACATTTCTTGCTCTCAAGAGATTCACAAAAAGAAACATTTTTTGTTTAGACAAACGATTTTCCCTCTTTGCACGGAGGGTCACATGTAATTACGCTTACAGCCCCTTTCAGCTATCTGGAAGATTGGAAAAAATATATAAATTGGAAACCACGTACCTGCACATTTGCTTCCAAATTTATTGAGTTCGTCGATAATTGTCTTGGTCGCATAGTCATCTTGAATCCTTCCTTCCTTCCTGGCACTTGTTATTATAGACGAACACCAAACCAGGCTTAACCAGTGCTTGGGGTGCTGAACAAAATACAGAGAGAGGTTTATCTAAAGGGGGTCATATACATTTGTTTAGATAATTAGAAAATCCTAAAACTAATTATATTAAGCAATATTTAGAACAAAAAAACTTGGAACCTACAAAACAGAGTCAACCCATTCACTAAACCCGGGTTCTGACACAGGAGGCCGAATTTAAAGAATTTTAGCCGCGGCTTAATTATGGTTGGTTTCACTTTAAATTGTATCAAATGTTTCAAGATTCAAGCCGGCGCTCAATTTAAACCGGGTTTTGGCGGATTTAAGCCGCGACTTAAATTCTTTAAATTCGGCCCCGGGTTTCATTCATGACAATACTCTGTCAAGTCTTAAATTCTGGGCTCAGGGTTTAGCCAACATGTGTACGTTATGTTCTCTTGTATGTCTTGGGCTACAGTATTGGTTTTGAACTCAGGCAATCAACATATAAAAACTATAGTTATTAAAAAGAATAATAATATTATGTTGTTCTCCAATAAACACGAAATTTCACGGATTTTATGTGCTAATTGGTGGATAATCTTGTGGACAATTTTTATTTAACATTGTTCAGTTTCAACCTTCCTTTTTGCGTTTCATTATTTAAATCAAATAATGAAGACGCCAATCATTAAATAGTTTTCGTTACCACTGTATAGTGAATACTGTAAATGTACGAATATGGTTTTAAAATTTTTAATTATTAAGTTTCATGGTTTCATGGATCTCTGCACTTTGTTCTTAGAAAATGAACTATTAGAGATAGATGAGAAGTTCAGGTCTCATTTCAGCCAAAATAAGATATTTCAGTTTCCACAAATTATTTCATTTTTCATTTTCTTTTATATATCTTTCTTTCTCTTTCTTTCTCTCTCTTTCTTTCTCTTTTTTTCTCTTTCTTTCTCTTTCTCTGTCTTTCTCTTTCTTTCTCTTTCTTTCTCTTTCTTTCTCTTTTTTTTCTCTTTTTTCTCTTTCTTTCTTTCTCTTTCTTTCTCTTTCTCTTTTTTTCTCTTTCTTTCTTTCTCTTTCTTTCTCTTTCTCTTTCTTTCCCTTTCTCTTTCTTTCTCTTTCTCTTTCTTTCCTTCTCTTTCTTTATCTTACTTTCTCTTTCTTTCTCTTTTTTTCTCTATCTTTCTTTCTCTTTTTTCTCTTTCTTTCTCTTTCTTTTTCTTTCTCTTTCTTTCTCTTTCTTTCTATTTCTTTCTCTTTCTTTCTCTTTCTTCCTCTTTCTTTCTCTTCCTTTCTTTTTCTCTCTTTCTTTCTCTTTCTTTCTCTTTCATTCTCTTTCTTTCTCTTTCTTTCTCTTTCTTTCCCTTTATTTCTCTTTCTTTCTCTTTCTTTCTCTTTCTTTCTCTCTCTTTCTCTTTCTTTTTCTTTCTCTTTCTTTCTCTTTCTTTCTCTTTCTTTCTCTTTCTTTCTCTTTCTTCCTCTTTCTTTCTCTTTCTCTCATTCTTTCTCTCATTCTTTCTATTTCTTTCTATTTCTTTCTGTTTCTTTTTCTTTCTTTCTCTTTGTTCCTCATTGTTTCTCTTTGTTTCTCTTTCTTTTTTTTCATTCTTCATTATCTTTCTTTTCTTTGTTTATTCACTTTAATTCTGTTTTTTTTTCATTCGCTGTCTTTCTTCCTTTCCTTCTCTTTCTTATAGCCAAAGGAATTGAGTCTTCGCCACACATTCAAACTTTCTAATCTCTATATCCGTGCAACCTGATGGTGTAAACCTTCGATATTTCGAACCTCAAATGTTATTTGATTTAACAGCATTTCTAATTTAAAATATCTAAGACCCACGACATCAGGGTGCAAAGATATAGGAATTTGAAAATCAAAGTTTGTGACAAATACTCAATTGCTTTAAAAATCGCAGCTTCTGAATTCCATCTGTATGCAATTGCAAACCTGTGAAGTATTCATTTCCATTTTCTCGATGAGCTCCATTTCATATTCTGTAATAAGTCCTGCTTCCACCAGATGGAACAGGGTTGGAAACCTTTTCTTTACAGGAACACTGATCATTCTAGACAGAAATATTATTGCAACTTTATTATCCCGGCTTAAAACTTTATTGTCCCGGCTTAAAACTTTATTGTCCCGGCTTACACCTTTATTGTCCCGGGGCTTACAACTTTATTGTCCCGGGGCTTGCAACTTTATTGTCCCGGCTTGCAACTTTATTTTCACTACTGGCAACAGTATTGTCCCGATTACAACTTACAAAACAAACAGAATGGAATGAAGGAAAAAGTATAGTAAACAACAGAAGAAGACAAATTAAATGCAGAGTGTAAGACTAAAGAATGCACAGCTTAAAAGTTCTTAAAAATAATGAGTTGAAACTTAAATATTAACTTCTCAATTTAACCCTAAAGGGAAATTTAAATTTCCCGGGATAAACTTCAACCAATCAGAACTAATTACGAATCGACAGAGATTACGCAACATCAGCTGTTCCGTTTCATAATTTCAATTTCAAATTTCAAGTATATTTTGAATTACATGATTCTTTAGTTATTCAAGATAATGGGAAAAGATTTATAAAATAAAATCGTCAGATTGAATCTTTTTATGATTGAAATATCGCAAAATTGAATGCGGGATTTCCGGGTTTAAATTTTAACCCGCACAAATCGACGAGTTAAATATTCAACCCCAGGGTTAAAATTCAGGTTTAAATAAAGTAAGAGCTGAGAAATGGCATTTAAGCTGAAATTTAAAATTTAAGTCGGAACTTTTCGTTCTTTAGTTTTAGACTTAGGTCATTTTTTTGTTGTTGTGTAGACTGTAGAGTTACCGGTGACATGGAAACGCCTCAACACGGAAACGGCTCAACACGGAAATGCCTCAAAAAAAACAGAATCATAAAACTAATTTAATGTCGTCTTCTCTCATTAAAAAACTATTTTAACACTTATTTTACCATTAATTTAGAGTAAGTTAGGTTGCGCCGCAGGCTACGGAGGGGGCCGAGCGCTGCGGCTAGAATATGGGCTAGGGGGCCGAGCACTGCGACTAGGACAGGCAAGTGGGCCGTGCGCTGAGGCTAGAATAGGCTAGGAGGCCGAGCGCTGCGGCCATGGCTGTGGAAATCGTTAGAATATAGTCTTTCAAATTTTAAGTTGAGAGAAGACGACATTAAATTAGTTTTATGATTCTGTTTTTTTGAGGCATTTCCGTGTTGAGCCGTTTCCGTGTTGAGGCGTTTCCATGTCACCCTATTTTTCTTAATATGAAGACTAACTTAAACTTGGACCTGTATCCTGAAAAGTGTTTAAAATTCAACCAATCAGAGTCGCATATATGATGCCGATAAATTTGAAATTTTGCGCGCCATTTAAGATTATATACAGAAACGGGAGGGACTCTGAATTTTAAAAAACCGGTTTTTTATTTTATCTAATCTCTACTATATCCAAGAAAGAACGGTTTAAGAAGAAAGAAAATCAAAAGTGTGTCCATTGGATACTCAGATTAAGTAATTGGGATTAAGGATATCTCATTCTAAAGTTTTCAGCTCTGAACTCCTACAATATTACTATCCACAGGTTTAATTTGGGTTTTTATGCATTTAAAAATGTCGGCATATAAAAATTACTAATTTTACGAGGAGAGACTGCGTTAATTAGAAAAAGAATTTATTAAAATTTCGTTCATTTTTCTTTGAAGTATCATTCTTTGATTGCAACCCTGTGGGTCTGTAAAAATAGAAGTTTTTTTAAGAATATTGAATGAAATCTTAAAATTAATTTGATTTTTTTATTTCTTTTTAGTTTTTTTTAATGCATCTCAATTAATGCTTAAAAAAAGAAGTATAAATTATTATAATTTTATTCAGACATTTCCAATGCATTAATCTTTAATTATTTATGATGATTATTTTAAAGGCCTATCAAATATTGCATTTCCATCCATAAGCATTTTTCTAGCCTAACTTTCACAATTTTTCTCTTTTCTTTCTACTATTTTAAACATATTGTGAAATTTTTGTGTTAATATTTTTTTTAAATTTACAATATCTAGTATTTTCTTTTTTCCTGGCCCCCCTGTATTTACTTTATTTTGCTATGAAGCAATCTGTTTTGAAAAGTAATGATAAACAATATTTTAAGTTTTGTCATCGGAAAAATATCAAAAGATCAAATATCAAAAGATCAAATGCCAAATGATCAAAACTCTTTAAATGATCAAAAGCGTGTACGCCAGGGGGCGGGCATAACTCTCCTTATTTTGCCTGGCTAGGTTTATACTGTACAGTGAAATTTGTCGAAAAATGTTTCCTTATGACTGAGTTGGTGTCATAGAGTACAGTGGGTTTAATCCTAAGTACATCTATTTGTACGGTATTNCCACAAGTACTAAATGACATAAGAACAGCCAATGATCACAACCGACCTAGTTAATCTATATAATAGAAATATCTTTAAAACATCTCTGTACATTTAAATCTTTCAAGATGAAAAATGTCGTCTTATGCGCAATCTATCTTTATCTATGATTTTACCCCGATTTGTTAACATTTCTAGCTTGTAGACCTTATTGAAATGTACTGCGTTTGTACTGTATAATTCTGCATTTGATCATTTGGTATTTGATCTTTTAATATTTTTGTCTTGTCATCAAGCTGCAGGTTAAAATAGAAAGAAACCTAATCGGTTGACAATAATGCCCGAACTATACTATGTACATATTTAATTGATAAAATAAAATCCTTCCTGCAATAAATGCTGTAACCCGATGTCGGAGACCTTTGATATTTCAAACAATAAATTTTGTTAGATCAAAAGGTTGACACCATCAGGTTACAAAGATATAGGGATAAGAAATCTCAGTTCCTTTAATCCAAAAAAAAGAAAAACAAGCTATTCTGCAGTTTTGAGAGGTGTAAAATGTTGACTATAAAAGAACGATGTTGGTATAATAATACAAATAATAAAATAATAATAATAATAAAAAAACTAAAAATATGCTTTTCCTGTGCTAAAGGACAAAGAATAGGCAAATATTCTTTTATAACATTTTTTATTATTATTTCGTTTTTTTCCTAGAACATCGATTTTTGAGAACAAAAAATGATCAAAATTTAACTTTTTTATAAACAACATTCTCTTTGGTAATATTGATCAATTAAAGGTTTCAAGGGTACCATTGTGAATCGGGCAATTGGTTAAAATTTAAAAAAGAAAATAATTTCTTTTTTTAATCGTACCGACGTCTGATAAAGATTTTATAAGGATTTTTTTATCTTAAACTCCTTTTTCACCAGTCTCAACTTTTTGTTTTGCAAAACTGGAGTATTCTTTTCTACCTTATGAACAATAGACTGTCAGTCAAGTCAGTCAAGTCAAAGATTTAATTAATTTCAAATCTTTAATTTTTGTTGAAATAAAAAGTAAGGAACACCTTCATTTGACCAATGTAAATGTGAATTAAATTTTATGATTCGTTAAAAATGTTTGATATTGATATTATTATGAATAGTTAAAAAACTCAACCTTAAAGTTTGAATGAACGCCAGGTTAAGGTATCTAGCCAGTGTTCTTCGCATCACCCTGCCCCTAAACAATATTTTTTAAAATGATATATTGCATGAGATAACAAAAACAAATACATCTTATTTTTATTTAGATATAATAAGAATTTTTCGATTGATCACATTTGACATATTGCAGTATTTAAAATAAACATTTTAGAAAACATCTACTTTTATCGCATAACATCTACGATGTTTTTTCTTCTAAATTGTTTCTATGGTTGTTTCTATAATAAGATAAAATTGTGGTTATTAAGAAAGTTATCGATCATTTTTGATTAACATTCTGTCCATAATAAGAAGCCGTCTTATATAATTAAAAAGAATAACTAAGCATATAGTGGAATTAATTCGAAAAAAGTGTAAAACCGCCATTTTGTTGTACTGTTTACATATTGCGGGTGTACTTCACACATTTGTGATTTATAACCTTTTGGGCCCAGGAACATCTTTTCATGGAAAATTATTTTAATTTTACAAAATCAATTCTCTGACAACCTTTCATTTCACCACAAGACTTTCTTTGCACCCCAGAGTTCTTTTCAGCATAAACTTTATATAAAGAAGAAATTGTAACAAATTTATAGGGATAGTCTTATTTCCCCTCTATATCTCTGTTCTGTGTATATAATGTTATTACAGAAGTAAGGAAATTTCCATTTTTTCAATAAATATATGTTTAATAAACACATTAATATCTCGAGGGATTCTCACTTAATAAAAAAAAATTATTAAATAGAATAAATAAAAAATCTAATTAAAGAACTGCTAAGTGCTAACTTAAACCTTATAAGGTCCCAATTTAGCTGTAAGCATAAATTCAAATGTCCCTCTATAGAGATGACAATACTCGATTCACAATGGCACCCTTTAAAAAATGGCTGATGAATTATTAATTAGGTATCATATAGATATGTAATTTGATACAATCATTATTTTTAATTGTGGTTTCTCTACTAAAGTGACTTTCGCTTCAGGAAAACTCATTTATAAGAATTATCAGAAATAAAAACGTTTAAACCTATAAAGATAAGAAACAAAAATATCTTCAACATTATAGATTAGATTGAGGTTTCAGCCATTGTTATCTTTGCACGGAAAGTCACTTAGCATTCCTCTTACAGTTCCTTTATCTATTCCCAACTGTCCTGTGTGAACCATCCGTTCCTGATTCTCCCTCTTCCCCCGGCTGAATCCGTTCCTGATACTCCCCCTCCCTCCATCTGTTCCTGATTCTCTCCCGGCNAATAAATGTAAACATGGTTTCTATATGGGGGAGTCAGCCACCTGGAGATTTTTTTTTTTAAAAACCTCCGTACATTTATTTTAGAAGATCAAAATTTAATGTTTTGCTTCCACCGACTAATTTAAGATTCCTCTAGACAGAAAATTAAGTGTACGTCTGTAATCTGGTTGAAGGGGGATTGAATTTAAAATTAAATGCAATTGTTATCTAAGTACTATTTTGGGATTTGTAAGTAGTAAATCTATTTTTGTTTTTTCTCTTTACTCTTTCATCGTTTGTATAAAAATAAAACCGAAACACTAAAATAACAGAATTTTACTGGACCTGATATGTATATCAAAATTTATCACATTTCAAGGTTTTTACAACATTCGTTTGTTTTGAATGAAGAGTCATACAGTTGAACATGACAGTTGAAAAATAGTTATAAATGTCGTCTTCCCTATACTGTATAAGGCTTCGCAGTTTATTTCGGAAGAAAAATCTTTTCTTTGAATAAATTTTACTTTGAAATCAATTTTACTATAACATGACTCCCATATAATATTCTCATTATTGTAATTTGTCTTTGGTATCAAACAACTTAACAAATTATGGAAGAAGACATTCTAAACTATCCACCAACTGTCATGTTTCGTGAGACAACCTGTATTTCAAACAGTACAAGGAAGCAATAATACGTATAAGGTACTTAAACTGTGCTAAAAAAGTGGTTAAACTTCTAAGAATTAAACACTGTTCATGCTAGAAAAATGAAGATATCTTCCTTATTATTGTTTAGGTTTGAATCGATGATGGCCCTCTTTAAATGCAAATAGATTATTAATTACAATAGGTGGCAACAGAGAAATGAACAACGTCACAAGTGTCAAATATAACAAGTAAAACGAAATGGTCTCACATTAGTTGACATGTTTTCCAAGATTAAATAAAAAGTGTAAAAACAGAAACTAAAAAACACATAAAATTGCACTTATTTTACTGTATAGATAGATAAGCACTTTATTCTAAAATTACCACTATTATTGATAATTTTGTCGGACACAGAAACTGAACTGATACTTGTGACGACAGAATACAACTGTACTGAGAGTGTACAAATTCTACGTTGCCATCTATTGTACTAGAATCTATTTGTTTAAATGGAGGCCGGAAGGTCAGTTGAAATTACAACAGTTTCTTTCTCAGGATCAAAATAAGTCATTAAAATATAAAATAATTCATGAATTTTTATTAGGGTTTCCATGTGTGCTTTTTATTAGGGTTTCCATGTGTGCNTGAATGTGGTGAGGTGTAAAAAAAAACATTTATTTTGATCGAAAACAAATTAGAAAAAATAAAAGTTCCAGCAAAAACTTTTTACAATAACAATAAACTTTTTACGCGTCAACAATAGGGTTTCAAGCGGAAGCAAACTTTTGTGCGAAAATACGAAGAAATATGCATCTTTGCTTGCGAATTCAACAAACTTTTGCAAACCAGCAAGTTTTCGCTGGGAACTTGCCTAAAACTCATTTCGCGCAATTTCTGCATTTTTGCGCTTGACAGATTAAAGCAGAATTTCGCAAAAAGCGGAAACTTACGTTTTTTCTATGTGAGGATTCGCGGAATTTGCGGTGGAACACATATTTGTGAGCATAATGCGGTTCATTTATGCGTAAGGATTTTTCCATTCTGCCGGAAACCCTAGTCTCATTAATTATAAAATATACCTTTCGTCTGTTCCCGTGATGGATGCGGAGACAAATATACAAACTGGATCCGGCCAGGGGATACACTCAAACTGTGCCCACCATCTACACAAATATACAAACTGGATCCGGCCAGGGGATACACTCAAACTGTGCCCACCATCTACACAAATCAAAAATATCAGCAAAATGAAATGTTCATATATTTGAGTAATTTGTTGTGTAGAGATGGGCATCGTTTTTTTAACGAAAATTTGTTCGTGAAAAAGGGTGTCGTTCTGAAAAAAAAACGAATAATGGACGAACAAAATGGATTGTTCAGAGAAATGAAAAAATGATATTTTTTTAAAAATTAATCGAAAAAACCGAACAATTTAAAATTATTCAAACGAACTTGAATAACGAGAGTTTTTACTGAACGAATGAATTTTGCAAAAGATTTGGAAAAAAACGATTGTTTTTTTACAGAACGAACGATACAAACTTTTCAAAAACTGTAGTTTTTTACTTAACAACAATCTTTAACAAATTTTTGAAAAACGTTCGTTTTTATACTGAACAAACGATTTTTTTAACAAACAATGAACAAAAAAATGAAAAAATCTAACGTATCCATCTCTATTAGTGGGTACCAAAACTAAGCTTACTTACGAGGGTTTTATTTTTAGCAATCTTAGCTGGACTTTGGTGTTTTAGGAAAAAATAGAAAAGAAAAGTGTCACACTTTTTTTTCAGAATAACTAATTATAACACTGTTATTTAGGTTCGCAGTGTTATGAAGTTATTGGACAGAAATTTTCTCTTTTTCAAGAAGCTTGGTTCAAGCCTTTTTAGATTTAATTTTAACCTTCGAGATATAGAGAAAATTTAGGTCCATAAACTTTACAGCACGTCGTGCCAAAATAAGAGTTATAGGTAATTTTATAAAACGTTTGTGTACTTTTCTTATTATAATGGCTATTTCTAGAGATGAAAGAAATATCTGGAATAAATATCACAAGTTAGAATCAGCTGATCGAATCCGCCCCCTTGGATTTCTCTGGAAACAACTCAGATGACGACATTCATATCCGCCACAATATCCTAATTTTTTTGGAGAAAATCCGGGAACCAATCAAAACTTTATAGCACAAGTGCTATAATGTACAGATAATTTAACTTTTTAGCACAAGTGCTATAATGTACAGATAATTTAACTTTATAGCACAAGTGCTATAATGTACAGATAATTTAACTTTATAGCACGATGATTACTTAGCACGTTCATTATGAAATTCACGATGAAGTGCAGAGTTATAAGGATAAAGTACACAATATAGTTTAATAAAATAACATAAAATGAGGTGAACCAAGGGAATATAAAAAAAGACTAAACACTTTGTGGCATCTGAAGTCTCATTCTTCTGTATGTTCTTTGCCCGTTTTATATTTATTTTAGTTATAAATAAATTACATATGCATTGTATACTGTATAGCCCGGTCTATGAATACAAATGGGAAAACTCAATTTCTTAATCCAAGATTTCAAAATCTTGTACTTTTCTATTTCTCTGTTTTTCTATTCGTCAAATAAAGGTTGGAGTATTATCTTAGTGTATGTTATTAGACAGCAGCAACAATAAATAAAGAAAAAAAATGTGCAAAAAAGCTAGTTAAAAAAATTTTCGACATTTCGTTTTTATAAAGCGCTTAGCGTTGGCTTTTTAACTTTTGAAGAAGAAAAAAACTGTAAATGTGCAGATTCATTTTCAAATTCCAAAATTAGCTTTTTTTGTCAATGGCTTTCCGAAAAGCTTAAAATTGTCAAAAATCAAAACAGAGATTATGTATGGAATTGTATAAAATCTACCCATTTAAACGACCTGAACCAGTGAGTTTTTGGGAAAAATATACAAATTTATTTGAATGTTTTAGTGAAAAAAGCTGTCAAATTAATGTGTTTTTAAATAAGTTTACTGAATGATGTTTTTTACAAGAATTTCATAGAAAAGTAATTTATTCAGAAGATTTCGCGAATGAATGATTTTTTCTCGCACTGATAAGATTTGTTTTTAAAGTTTTTTTTTTAAATAAAGGAATTGAGTCTTTGCCACAGACTCTGAATTTCTAATTTCTATTGCAATTTGCAAATTAGAAATATATTCGAAAATTTGAGTTTGCAGCAAAAACTCAATTCCTTTGAGTGAAAATGTTACTTGTTAACAACGACTGCTACGTAAAATCCTAGAACGTAGAAAATGTTACCTGTAAACAACGACTGCTATATAAAATTCTAGAACGTAGAAAATTTTACCTGTTGACAACAACTGCTACATAAAATTCTTGAATGTAGAAAATGTTACCTGTCAACAACGACTTCTATGTAAAATCCTAGAATGTAGAAAATATTACCTGTTAACAATGACTGCTACAAAAAATTCTTGAACGTAGAAAATATTACTTGTTAACAACAACTGCTACGTTAAATCCTAGAACGTAGAAAATATTACCTGTAAACAACGACTGCTACGTAAAATCCTAGAATGTAGAAAATATTACCTGTTAACAACGACTGCTACGTAAAATCCTAGAACAAATGTGATTGGTATGAGATCTCCGAACTTTCTACAGTGATGACAAAGATCTTCGAATACTACCTAAAAAATAATTAAATTTTTGCAAATATGTTTTTGTTTGGAATAGGTTAAAAAAGTATGCATGTAGTTATATCCCATATAAGTTAAAATGTAGATCGAATTTCTGGGTTCTGTTTATTATGATTATGAACATGGAACATAGTTTATGGTCTAAGGTGGTAGAACATTGTTCTGGCTGAGTTCTTCAACAGCTGAGATCTTCAACAGCTGAATTCATCTCCAACAACTGAGTTCATCTTCAACAGCTGAGATCTTCAACCTCTGAGTTCATCTCCTACAGCTGAGTTCATCTTCAACAGCTGAGATCTTCAACAGCTGAATTCATCTCCAACAACTGAGTTCATCTTCAACAGCTAAGATCTTCAACAGCTGAGTTTATCTCCAACAGCTGAGTTCATCTTCAACAGCTGAGATCTTCAACAGCTGAGTTCATCTTCAAAAGCTGAGTTCATCTTCAACAGCTGAGTTCATCTTCAACAGCTGAGTTTACCTTCAACAGCTGAGTTCATCTTCAACAGCTGAGTTCATCTTCAACAGCTGAGTTCATCTTCAACAGCTGAGTTCATCTTCAACAGCTGAGTTCATCTTTAACAGCTGAGTTCATCTTCAACAGCTGAGTTCATCTTCAACAACATTGAGGACTTAGGAGTGCTCGAGTGTCCCAACTTATGGATTTTGAGTTGTTCATCATAAATCCACGCCATGTTATATAAAAAGTTAAAAGTTAGAAAACAATGTGTTTTTTTAATAGAAATAGGCTAGAAAAGGTACGCATGCATGTAGCTATAGGGGTTGTTAATTTTTTTTGTTTAAATTTAAAAAAATCATTTAATAAAAACTTCCGGAGTTTAGACCTTGCATATTAAGAAGAATGTTAAAAGTATAGTCTAAAATCAAGAGAAGCGTAATTGCGGAAAATGAAAACGTGTGTTAGCAGAAAACTTACCGCAATTTTCAGAAATCAAGTGTAAGCGTAATTTCAAGTGACCTTACATACATATTGCATAAGATGACAATGCCCGAAAAATGGGACCTTAAAAGCTATGTCAATTCAAGTACGAATTATATATCAATGATTATAATTTTGAAAATGTATTACTTTTAATTGTGGTTTTTCTACTAAAGTGACTTGCGCATTTCTACTGCTGGAAAACATGTAAGAATTATTATAAAAAAAAAAACAATTTATATAACGAAAATATTTTCCATAATACTGAACAGAAGAAGGTTTGAAAGGTAAGGCGTAAAAATGTTCTAATATACAGCTCTTTAGAAACAGAAGTTGCAGGAACATGAACACATATTCAAGGTTTAAAACTGAAGTTTTTGTAAAATATATATCTGGTTTTTTAGTGACAGTACATTGTTGTACAAGAAACTAACCTGGTTCTCCAGTACATTAAGCTGTTTAAGAAACAAACCAGGTTCTCCGGTACATAGTTGTACAAGAAACTGGATTGGTTCTTTAGTACATATGTTGTAAAAGAAACCAACTTAAGGTTCCCCAGAACAGAGTTAAGTTTACGAAACTAACCTGGTTCTCCAGGTCCAGTACAGTGTTGTACAAGGAACTAACCTGGTTCTGCAGATCCAGTACATAGTTGTACAAGAAACTAACCTGGTTCTCCAGGTCCAGTACATAGTTGTACAAGAAACTAACCTGGTTCTCCAGGTCCAGTACATAGTTGTACAAGAAACTAACCTGGTTCTCCAGGTCCAGTACATAGTTGTACAAGAAACTAACCTGGTTCTCCAGGTCCAGTCCATAGTTGTACAAGAAACTAACCTGGTTCTCCAGGTCCAGTACATAGTTGTACAAGAAACTGAGGAAGAAGTAGAGAACTATGAAGAGGAACAGATTCGGCCAAACCAACTTTACCAAAATAATAAAATTCTAAACTGAATTTCTTCTCAAAATCTTTATTTATAGCTAAATAGTTCAAATACGTGTGACGGGAAGATAAAATTAATCTTTTTGTGAAATATATAAAAAATAGTTGGAGAAAAATTGAGTAAACCTGATGCAAATAAATATTTTTAAATTTAGATATAACCACAGATCACTAGTTAATTCTAGGAAGGTTTAAATTGGTTTCAACCTAGCGTTCGTTAAAAAATTCAAAGAATCGGAGTCGGACCCCACTATTTTTTATCTTATTGTTTAGTTACCGCGGGTTTAAAGATGTTTTTAAAAAGAGGATAAATTTTCTCCCACTTCATAAAAGTAAAAAGAATATAATTAAATTTATAAGAAACATTTTCTGTGCTCGCTGTGTGTTTATGTTGTTGTCTAGATACAGTGATAACCAGAAAACATGACGACATTATAGCAATACTGAAGTGTATTTGATGTTGTTACAAAGCAAATAGTTTTACTTTTTAAATTATTAATTTAGGAAATGGGTCTGTTTACGATGCACAATTGCTGTGTCTCATGCTCATTGGACTTTTTAAAGTTCTAACTTGATTCTAAAAGTTGTCTTCCTATCTCAGAGTTTTCTGGTTCTCACTGTATGATAGAAATAAATAAAAGCAAATGTGTTCTTGTGTTAAAGTTATAGTTTATAGTAAAAAAATTGGACTTTTACAAACTTTGAATTTTTCGAAATTTACTAAAACATCAATTAATGAGTGGCAATTATAGTTAAGATTAAAGATCAGCGCCTAGTTTTAAATAAAATTGTGCTAATTTTCAAGTCATAAAGCCTAAACCCACTTAGAATAAATCATTTTTAGTTCGAAAAACACCTTTTATTTGGTGGAATTGAGTAGAACAAGGAAAAAGCTCTAATTGTACGATTCAACGAACGGAAAGAAAATTTTCCTTTTTAGCTCTTCAAATAATCACTTTTTGTTACCTTTGGTTTTTATAAGAAGTAATTGGCAAAACTCTTATCGATTTTTGCTTGAAAGCGTGAAAGCGTGAAAGCACAGTTTAGAATTCACAATTAAAATCTGTTTCAAATCCTCTCTTAAAATCTAATTAAAAAATCTAATTAAAGATACCCACTGTGAATCTTTTCTAAATCAAAAAATAGTTCTTGAAAGCACCCCCCCCCCCCCCCCCGGCCATCACCAGGATTTTGACGTGTATAATGACCTAAAACTTTTTTTAAAAAAATTGCGAGAGGGGTACAAATTTGATTTTAAAGAATTAGTTTTTACCTTGTAAATACTCCCCTTCCATCTGAAGAGAAGTTTCCAAAAAACACCAAAACCCCGGCTTGTTGCAACCTTAAAAATAACTGTGTTTTTTATTGCATTGTTATCTTGCCAGAGTTGCAATCTTCCACGCAAACCTTAGGTAATTCAATTAAATTTTAAACCAATCATTCAGATATATTAGCTTATCAAGTTATATATGGCAATTTCAATTCTGGGCTTATTAATTGTATATGATGTACTTTTGACGACGATTATTTGACCGCAAGGTGTCTCTGGTCTCAATATTTCCGAGCCCGTTTTCTCCATAGAAAGTGGTCGTGTATTTCACGTACTTTGGGGGACGATATGTTGGCCGCTAGATGTCTCATGCAAAATTCTTATCTGATAGATAGATATTTCTCCGTACATTTGACGACCAATATAGGAGACGTCAAGTTGTCGACCAATGTAGTTTATAAAAGGAACGGCCTCAGGGATTTCATTTGGGAGAGAAACCTAGCGGCATAAAATCGTCGTCCAAAGTACATATAGTACCTAAAAAATTAATAAAAAAGATTATTATGATATAATTAATCTAAATTTGAAATCTCCGAATTTGATTTTGACATTCAAAACTTGTAATATCTAAATGATTAGTTATAAATTTAATTGACTTTTTTACGGTGGAATGATGTAACTCTGTGAATTTACATGTGTTCTACGCTCTTGGGTATAAGGCATTTTTACCCATTTTCTCCTTATAATACGCAACAGATAGAACTAAAATTACTATATAGCGATCAAAACTACATTCAATTCGAGATCATTTTTAGTAAACACTACCTTTAACATTTTTGATTCACCGACAAAGGGTCAAACGACCCAGGGTCAAACGACAAAGGGTCAAACGACACAGCTGGTCAAACGACACAGGGTCAAACGACACTGGGTCAAACTACAAAGGGTCAGAAGTGCGACAAAGGGTCAACGACAAAAGGTCAAAATGATAAAAATATTTTTTGATTTGAATCATAGGAAACTCGCAATTTTAATCACAAAAAATCTCCGAATTTGATTTTGACATTCAAAACTTGTAATATCTAAATGATTAGTTATAAATTTAATTGACTTTTTTTACGGTGGAATGATGTAACTCTGTGAATTTACATGTGTTCTACGCTCTTGGGTATAAGGCATTTTTACCCATTTTCTCCTTATAATACGCAACAGATAGAACTAAAATTACTATATAGCGATCAAAACTACATTCAATTCGAGATCATTTTTAGTAAACACTACCTTTAATATTTTTTCATAATAACAAACTAAAATAAGGAAATTAAAATGACGAATATATTGTTTGACATTGAGAACAGAATGTAAGGAACATACACATGTTGTAATAAGTTATTCTGTTCATCATTTTTTTTAATATGACTTTCAACATCATTTCTTGTGTCTTGTGCCTCTTCCTGTGTTGATGGAATTCCAGAATTATCTTCTCGAATTCGAACAAGACTTTCATAATTTATACAAACGTTAGGGTGTTCTTTAATTTGACCAATATGTTGTAAAATAAGGTAAGTACACAAACATTATTTTTCAAATAAAATCTTAGATGCAAATTTTTTTTAGAAATTAAGAAAGATGTTTTAACAATCCAAAAAGCAATTTCTCGATCATAAATTGTGCATCAAAGAATAAGCAAGTTTATTTTATTTTGTTTGTGTGATGTTATTTAGCTAAAAGTTTCTTGTTAATTAGTAAAAGTTTGTGATGTTTTTTACTATTGGAGAAATAAAAAAGTTCTAAGAAAATAAAACTTTAGTGAATTGACTATTGAAATGAGCTTATTGCAAACATCTTTTCATAACTTTGAATCAAAAGCAAAGGAAAAGCTACAAACCGCTGTTTATCGGTTGTTACCAAGGTTGTTTATTATATTCTGGATGCGCTCCAATTTACGGAAAATTTCTTCTTTATAGCAATTGGACACTAAAAATCCTCATCGTACTGATTATTGGCGGAGGATGAAATGACAACCACGCACCTCTGCCCCTTTAGTAAAAGTAAATTCAACCTATATGAAGCATAAAGTCTGACCGCGTCAACCTTATTGCCCTGGCTAGTCCTGTCCATAGAGCTAGGTACAGTACAAACTGGGAGCGGAAAGGTTGACCCGACTCTGAAATTCAAATGTAATACGGCAGAGAAAGATTTTCTCCACTTTTAGCAGCTGACAGGCTGAGAAAATCCTTCTCTGCGTTATACGTTGTCACTTCATCTTCCGCCAATAAGCTGTTACGTCATTTGAGGATTTTGATTCTCCATTGCTATGAAAAAGACATTTTCCGTACATTGAAGCGTATTAAGAGTATCTACCTTTAATAATCAACCTTGGCTGTTTCAGTTAGATTAGTACATAAAAAACCTCATCAGAATACGTGACAGTCATTATAATTGATGGAGCATATCTTGAACTGTTTCTGCTCTTCAAAACCGTTTTTCCTGTTGCTGCAAACTGTGTCTGCTAATCAAAACCGGTTTTTGTTTTGCTGTACACTGTGTCTGCTAATCAAAACCGGGTTTTCTATTACTATACACTGTGTCAGCGATTCAAAACCGGTTTTCCTATAACTGTAAACTGTATCTCCTATTCAGAACTGGTTTTCCCATAACTGTGTGCTAAATTTGCTAATCAAAACCGGATTTTCTATTAGTCTACACAGTGTCTGCTATTCAAATCCGGTTTTTTCCCCTATCACCATGTACAGCGTACACGTTGTCTGCTATTAAAAACCGGTTTTCCTATCGTACTGTGCTTTTCACTGTGTCTGAAATTCTAATCACTGTTTTCTGGAAATATTTTAAATGGCTGCGATATGATGACCTAGCGGTCAGCGGACCTAGCGTGTTTCCATTTTTCCTAAAATTTAAACTTTACAATTGATAGGACTTTTCAATGATCATGAAAACCAAGTGAAATTTGTTATCTTTGTTTTCAAAGTGCACAATTTAAGTTTTTAATACAAACTATGTCTTTAATCTTTATTTTGAAAACTCAAAGACAAGTTGATAAAATTTAATTTCTAGATGAAATGTTTAAGATATTTCGAGTTTTATTATTATACAATATTAATGCCCCCTCCCCTCCATTACACCATGACATATATTATGTAGGTTTATCTAGTTAGTAATTTGATACCATGCTACTGGTATCTGAAAAAAGAGAGCAGCTCACAAGATATCTTGAACAAAATTGTATTTATTGTCATCTTCAGAACATACAGAAGATATCCAAAAGCATGAAAATTGAGTATTTAAAAAATTTTCTTGACCATGCCAAAATCAGCCGAAATGCGCATTTTTCTTTCTTATATTTTCAGTAAACATTATCTAGAGTTGTTTTTGTAAATACCCTGTACTATATGTAAATTGAAGCTTTACTAACTAATTTTCCATGAAAAAGATTTTTCGTNCCATTTATACCTTCCCTATTCGTAGTGAATCCCCCTCCTCTTTTTCTTATTGTAATCGAATTTCAAACTTAAAATCCTACATCCTACAGTATTAACTAGGAAACTCTGGAATAGTAAGACAACTTTAAAAATCAAGTTTTGGCTTTAAAAAGGTCCAATGACCATGAAATAAAACAATTGTGCAGTGCAAACAGACCCATTTCACAAGATAAGTGATTTTATAAGTGTCTAGTAAAACTATTTGCTTTGTAACCCCATCAAATACACTTAAGTATTGCTATAATGTCGTCTTCCTATTCCATTGTTTTCTGGTGATCACTGTACTCCCCCCATTCTTATGCTCACATTCGAACATTTTTCCAATGTAGAATCCATCTTTTCCCTTCCTTTGAACTACCCCCCCCCCCTTCCCCCCAGGTTTCAGTTTCATGCATATATGTAGTAAATGGTGTTTATGCACAAGAGAAAAATAAACAGTTAATGACGTGGCGTTGGGGAATTTACATTTTCCGGTGAACTGAGCTGAGCGATGGGAGGAAGGCCAACCAAAACAATATCTCGTCCGAGCCACCTCTAAAACGTCTACAGATTTTCAAAAGATATTTTTATTAGCAAGGGTTGGACATTAAAAAAATAATATTGGAAGGACGAGGATTTCGAGGTGGTTCGGACGAAAAATTGTTGTGGTTGGCTTTCCTCCCCTCGCTGAGCTGAGCCGAGCAGTTTAAATAAATAATCATTAGACCAATGAACATGTATTTATCTAAGAAGCAATGCTTAGGATTCATAAATTTCATAAAACCGTCAAAATTAGCATGTATTGTAAGAAGTGCACAAAGTTGTACACGTACATGTACATGACAAATGTACAACTTAAACCATTCTACCCACTTTTACCTCTGTACAATTTACATTTAAAACTGCACATATACACTGTACAACTGGAACCATATACGTACAGTTAAGAATTTACAACGTAAATAATTGTACAATTAAAAATGTAAATAATAAATATGCTTCTGTATATTTAATAAAAATGTGCGTGGTGTGAGGTATGACTAGAATCTAACATATACAGAACATAAACACTACACACCTTAAAACTCAGAGCCCAAAACTTAAGACAAGGTATCGTTATGAAACCCAGTATCGGATCTTGGGTTTCAAGAATGGGGAAAGCGATTTTTTAAAATATCGATCTATTTTTTAGACATCTTATCTTTTAATTTTCTATTCCGGCTCAGGCTCCTTCATTATAAACGCATGCGCACAGATCAAATTCAGAAAATAATATTTTTTCAGTAATTCAATCCAATCCTCGCACCAGGGGATTAATACAAGCCAAGTTTATCACTGTTGTTTAATCCATCAGAACAACGGTTTTAGGAGATAATCAATCATGTCAGCATAAACTGAGATTTAAGATCCTCCTTTCAATCTAATTCAAATTTCTTAATTGTGCTTTAATCCCTTATTCAATTCTTAATCCCCTTTTCATTTTGCCCGTCCATATGCATTATATATGTGTTCATATATATATATATATATATAAGCTTGAGTGCAGAATACCGAATAGATGACTCATTCTACCCATTTTACAGGGATTAATACAGAATTCAAAAATATTTTTATACAAATGAATGCCCACAAATTTGCTTGTAAATTTTTTACTTTAAAACTAAAAAGTGAAAGTAAACTTTTTTCAATTTAATTCCCCTTTACAGGCATTCTGTGCACTGCAAGGGCAGTTTAGGTTTCTTATTTGTGAACAGTTTAGCAGATGAGTTCTTCATTCTACGCAAGTTACGCAGAAAAAGTGCAGAACATGGGGAGAAAAGAATTTGCAGACGTGGCAGAAATATGTGAAGTTTTCTTTACAGAAATGTAAAAACTCGATTATAAGGAAAGTTATCAGAGATTTAAAAAAAAATACAAATAAATTGTCTTTAAATCCAATTAGATAAAAAAGTAAAATCCTAAGAGATAAAAAAAAATTTTAAGTTTCAAAACTATCTTTTATTTTATTTAAATAGATAAAATTTTCCACCAGATGTGATGGCTTAAAAAGAAAGTGAAAACTTCAAGATTCGAGAAATATGAAAATTTATTAGGCAAAGAAAATTCTTGAGGCTACGCACATGTTTGCAAAAGATAAAGTTATTGCCAGACTTGCTTAAGCTATCTAGGATTTATTGGATTATCTTAAGCAAGGGTTGTCTAGTAAACCTACTACAGAATGTTGCAAGGCTAAATAAGGCGTTATCTTAATTGTACTGGATTTCTAATGTTCTTTTAGCTAGATGGAAATATGAATTGATCATACTTAATTTGGTCAATATTGGCAGAATTAAACCTACCCTTGAATAAACACTGTTATGCTCACCGTACTGTAAGTGTACTGCAGTATATGGGAGGAATATAAACAAAACAATGTTTGTTTACATTACTCTCAGAAGAAACTGTAGTACACAGTTATAGTTCCTGATTTATCTTACTAGTACAATGTGAACTAAAAGTTAGCCACAAAGGATGAAACTGTAATGACAACTTTAAACTCTAAAGATATGAAGATCCCTATGTTAAATTAAGCCTTATGTTGTGGCAAATAAACAAACAAGTTTAAAGTGAAGGAAAACAGAATAAAAAAGAAAAAACAGAATAAATTGTGTATAGTACAGTCGTCTCTGCAGTCTCATCCTTTTTGGGTAACCCTGTATATGTACAGTTAACACATGAAGTGTTTGAAATATATGTAAACTGTATTACTGTTGAACTAGATGTACACAGAAAGTACTGTTTGAACTGTGTACACTGTGGGGCACACTGAACTATATGTACAATGTGTGTGCTGTTTAAACTATATGTACAGTTTATGTATTATTTGAACGATATGTACAGTGTTCGTACTGTTTAAACAAAATGTGCACTGAATGTACTGTTTGAACTATATGTACACTGTATGTACTGTTTGAACTATATGTACACTGAAAGTACTGTTTGAACTCACCAGATTAGTTTGGTCCTGAAATGAAAAATGAAGGTTTGTAATCCATCTTCTATCTCCGAAAACGAGAACATCTCTTTCTTCCTGTTTATCGATTTACATTATTTTATGAACTATTTTTTAAACTTCTAATATTTTTCAAGTGCTTATAATCCATTTCATTTTGATGCGGATCCGAATCCTGGATCCGCCCTTAAAAAAAACGGATCCAAGTCATGAATATTTCCTTCAGATCTACTGATTTTCTGAACTGATAAAAAATGTTCAATTTTATTTTTTACTTTTTTTTGAAGTTTTATGAAGTTTTACTAATCGCTCATTAGTAAACAATGAACAGTTCAATGTTCATTTTTGGGTTTTGGTTGATATTTAACCCTTTTGGATCCGCATATTTTTGCGGATCCTGATCCAGGATTCCAAAATCTTGTGAACCCAACGATCCGGATCAGGATCCTAGGAAATGTTTTTTTTTTATTTTAATCGAATAGATTCGTCTGCTTTCTGTTCTCAAACTTTTTCTTTTTTTAAGTTTAATTTTTGTAAAACTTTCCTGAAAGCACGCAGTTTCTGCTCTTTTCAACATTTCCCATTTGTTCAAAATTTTTAGTGCATACACCTGAATAAGAAAATATATAAATAGATAAAATAAATCAAAAATTAAAACTGCAAAAAAACCAGCAATTACAATTTAATAATTAAAATTCAAAATATTTTTTACTTTCTACTTCAAATGTTAATTAATTAAAAAAACACGTTTGATTCAAACCCACCTTATCCGTATGTTTCATTTTGACAACACAAACCTCCCCAAAAGCTCCTCGTCCGATCACTTTCAAGATCTCAAAATCCTCCTTGGACAGGCGTAGACCCTTCACGTGATTCGTCACCGGTTTAACTGAAATATAAAAAATGTAAGAACTTTATATTGATAATTACAGGGGTTTAAATTTTCTAGAAAACCTTCCCTGGGGCCATGTGAGGTCCCACAAAGAATTTTGGCCCGATCGGTTCAGCCGTTGTGACGTTTGCAGGTTACAAACAAACCGACAAGCAAAGTATAAATAAAGATTGTCCGTACAGTCCATATATATATATATATATATAGGTTAATTTCTCTTCCCCCAACTCCTTGAAAATCATTTTCCCACAGTAGAATATACAATATACATGCTTACAGGAGCGTCAACATTTTTTAGGGTTTTATGGAAGTTTAATATTTTTTTTTTTAAATAAATAAGTATTTGACTAAGAAGTATCAAAAAGAACGAAAAAAGTTGACTTTAGATGTCCATTTTTCTATTTTTCCCCCCAAATAATCAAAAAGGGGTAATTCTGAAGAATATACACCCCTGAATAATTATTCAAAACAAGCTTTGACCCCAAAAGTACAATGAGATTTTTTTAAACAATTAGGCATGACGTCATTAGCGTGAAGTATTACACGCAACTGAAGTTCCAAACAGAGAACATTTTTAAAAACAGTATTTAAAGAAAGAACACAATAAACTGCACTGATCTAATTGTAACTGAAGTTTAAAGTCCTAATCTGTTAATAAAATTTTCAAATATTTTGACTGTACACTAAATATTGAAATAGCCTCGCTGTCGGCAAAAATGCCCTTTAGTTCATCAAATAGGAATAAATCAATGCTGTACAGTATGCTGTACAGTGTACATATTAAAGTTAGAGCGACCAATTTCCCGTATTTTCCCAAATGGTTTCTAAAATAAATCTGATATGTGGAAGATGACGTCTAGCAATGTGCATGTCACTTTTGTGGAGAAACCACAATTAAAAATAATCAATTCCCAAAATTACGAAAATGGATACCTAATTCATATTTGATCAGCTAAACTTTGAAGGGTACCGTTATGATTCGGATATGCCACTCTTTTAAAGGTGTAATGTTTAGGGACCATTTAACACGGTGACGTTTAGGGACCATTTAATACGGTCACGTTTAGGGACCATTTAACACGGTCACGTTTAGGGACCCTTTAACACGGTCACGTTTAGGGACCCTTTAACACGGTCACGTTTAGGGACCCTTTAACACGGTCACGTTTGGGGACCCTTTAACACGGTCAAGTTTAGGGACCTTTTAACACCACCGTAAATATTTTTGATTTCAGGCAGCCAATTGCATTTTCACCTGCTCGGGTTCTAGAATAAATGTCAAGGATGGGGGGGGGGGATTATTACCCCTGTAAACATTTAGTTTGATTACTGTTTACAAAAGTTTGGCCAGGCTGGGGAAAACTTTTAATGGTTCAATATCCGTCTAATTCAAGTCTAGACCAGAATATTTACAACCCCCCCTCCCCCTTTGGGGGAACTACAACTTTATCCCTTCTGTATTTACATTTCCGCAATATCTATTTATTTTTCCCCCTCTACTCCCCAGCAACCCTTGTATTTTACAGCCATTAAACGACATTTTTCTCTTCAACAAGATGGAAAAAATTCGAATGATTATATGCAAGCTATTTCAATTTAGAGGATAAAAAAGATAGCTTTAAAGTCAATTAAAGGTTTCAATTAGACAATTTTTAACACGTTTAATATCTGTGTTTACTATTTAAATAATAAAGTTGTGCATTTTGGGAGTTTAGCCGATTCTGCGGTATTACAACTCTTGTTGTAGAATTACTATCCAGCTATCCAGCTATCCAGCTATCCAGCTATCCAGCTATCCAGCTATCCAGCTATCCAGCTATCCAGCTATCCAGCTATCTAGCTATCCAACTATCCAGCTATCCAGCTATCCAACTATCCAACTATCCAACTATCCAGCTATCCAGCTATTCAGCTATTCAGCTATCCAGCTATCCAGCTATCCAGCTATCCAGCTATCCAACAATCCAGCTATCCAGCTATCCAACTATCCAACTATCCAACTATCCAACTATCCAACTATCCAGCTATCCTACTGTCCAACTATCCAGCTATCCAGCTATCCAACTATCCAACTATCCAGCTATCCTACTGTCCGACTATCAGCTCTATCTAGCTATCCAACTATCCAACTATCTAACTGGCTATCATTTTCCACCCTCAGATAGTAGATTACCCAGCTAATCCAAGTACAGTTGCCAAATCTCAGCTATACAGTATACAGTATACAACCCAAGTATATTTTTATCATCTCAGAAACAAAACTGGAAAAGGATATCTGAAATCTATGAGCACCCCATCCCCCCCAACCTCTCTAACTCGTGCCATTCCATTTCGAGAGATTGCATCTAAAAATTTAGCTTAATAATAGAACAGACCCTTATTATGAGTGTTTTAAAATTAAATTCTCAATGTAGAGCTTTTAATTTTATTATAAGAAATTTTCGCCTAGCCCAATATTGTTAACAAATTAAGTTAGCTGTTACTGCAACTAGTAGGAATTAAAACAAAACTTGGCTTGAGTAGCACCATGAGTTTGTTGACATTCCTCCTAGAAACGTCGGAACACTTTATATAAAAACAAAGATATGTTGGTCGTGATTTTCCTTAAAATTGGAAAACCACTGCATCAAAATGGCTCCATAAACAAAACTCTTTTCGTTGTCCGTTCTATTGTTATTTCATATTCATAGATGGTATTCATAATCTATACACTCCATTCTCATGTATGCCTCCCCACGGGGGGTATACTTTAAACATGTGGGAGGTACGGGTAATTATGAAGGGTGGGGGGCGTTAATCGATATTAAATATGTACAATGTACAGTGTACACTGTAGAATGTGTGCTCCATCCTAAATAAAAAATAGAATGGATGCTATTGCTAACCAAAATTATTTAAGAAACGTCGTTAAGCTAAGCTTGAAAGAAGTTATTAACGTAATTGCAAACATTCAAAAAGAAAACTTACCTAACGAAACATTTAATTTTTGTTAATGAACCCATTTTACGTACATTTTTTAAGCCAGGAGACTTAAAAACGTGAAATTCCCAATCCAAAAAGGACAAGAAAATGACAGAGACATATGAAAAATTATATTTTTTAACAAAAGATTCTCTCAAGATCACGTGAACAATATTTAAAAATTTAAAAGCATATCTGAACACTTTGTTCTAGAACCTAATCCTTTAAAAGTTGAAATTTAGGAGCGAAGAGTAAAATGTTAATCCTACCAATCCTACCAATGTTACGCAGGAACCATCAACTTTTTGTATCAACATTTTTACAAGGAATTTTATTATGTAAAAACGGGATAAAAGGTTCAATTGAATAATATAAAATGTAGATATAACCCTACCCAATGTCAGGTTAACATGTTCAACACTTAGTATAGACGCAAAAAAGTGTTGATAAATCTACGCAAAAACGTGTTGATAAAGTTTGGAGGATTTTCAACACCCGGTTCTTGCGATAAAAATTATTTCTCAGCGGTATGATAATAAATTGACGCCCTTTTGAAGTATAAAAGCTGGTTCCAGCAGCTTTATATCTAAAAGAATTAGAATTTTTAGTAGTATAAATTAAACCCTATTCATTTCGCACAGTGGGGCGCCGGTCATCCGATTTAAGGGGTAGGAGGTGGAGGAAGGAGGGGTTGGCAGAATAAATTGGAATAGTTAAAAAGCGCAAAATAAATTTACAATTTTATCTTTAATTTTTCAAATATCCATCTTATTCTTTTTCCTGCTTGAATTTCTTTGATAATACCTTACTAAAAAATGCAAGCCCTTTTTCTCTTTTTTATTTGACGCAACTTCTGTACAATCTCCATTTTTTAATCTTTATATATTTGAAATCTAATTTTGAACTATAAATGTCAAATATAGGCTTCCATCATTAGGTTGCAAAGAAAAAGGAATTAGAAATGAGAGTTTGTGGCAACTCTTCAGTTCTCGGATATAATCTTTCCATTAAAATTCCTTTAATCCACCCTTTAAAAAAAAAAAAAAAAAAAATTCAGGTTTTTTCGCTGAATTGTGGAAAACAAATGATTTATACTATGGGGGGGGGGGATGAGAAACTTACCTTTTGATGTCCAGTTTTTAGGATTACCCCCACATTATCAACAATTATAAACCCCTTGTTTTGTTCCTTTTAGCCCCCTTCACTTAGCAGACAATTTGTCTGAGACGGCTAGAGGGTTTGAAATTTGATCTTGAGGATAATTCAGGGTTAAATAGTTTCAACTCAATTAGTTCTGTTTTTAGAAAGTGATTTCTTTTCTCGTTCTATGTTTCTAGAATCAGGAAAGCAGTTACCAATATCTAAAAATCTGTTACCCAACTCTAGAAATCAGTTACAATCTGTTACCCAACAAGGGAAAGTAAACCAAATTTGTACCAAACGCTAAAATTCCGTTACACAGCTAAAGAAATCTGTCGCCAAACAGTAGAAACCAGTTATCCAACTCAGGAATTCAGTTATCCATTGCCCAACTCGGGAAATCAGTTACCCATCCCGGAAATCGGTTACCAAATTAAAATCTTAAAATCAGTTACACAACTCTAGAAATATATTAATTACCCAACACTGGAAATCTGTCACCCAACTTTAGAAATCTGTTACCCAACACTGGAAATCTGTCCCCCAACTCTAGAAATCTGTTACCCAACTTGGAAATCTGTAACACAACTCTAGAAATCTGTTACACAACTCCTAAAATATTGTCTGCAAAGTTTGCAAATCCTGACAAAGGATTGAATGTAAAGTTCTAGCTTGAGATAGAATAAGAGATTTTAGGAAAAAGACAAATTGAACTTCGTCGAAACTTTGTTTAGGAAAGGCAAGGGAAGGACAAACTTGACAAGCATGTTATGCATTTTACATTTATTAAAATTATATTAAACTTTAGCTTTCAACTGTTGCTCTGTAAGTCGCCATTATTAAATCACTCTCAAATTTTTGTCGATTTTTCTGTTTAAATTGGTGCATTTTCAAAA